AAAAAGCGAGACAGGCCTTGGGCCTCAGGGCCGTAACTATGCTACATAGGCAACTGGCAGTGCTTCTCAAGGCCGAAAGCCTGCAGCACTTAAAGCCCCACTGAAAACAGGCAAAAGCAAGCGGTACCAGCAGGTCCTCACCTAAGCAACTCGAACCCTCTTGCCTCTTTCTTTACCATCGCGGTGTTAAACTAGCAAGTTATCATGTGGAACCCTAAACCCTCTACCTCCCTGTCCTCTAAAAAACCCTAAACCCTAAACCCTCTACCTCCCTCTACTCCAAGCCCAGAGGGTTTGGATCGCATCGGAAAGGGCTGGAAGAGCCGAGGCCTCTTGACGAAGCTCGCCGGTCTCATCCTCGCACCGAGTGTGCTCGTGCTTATTAGTGTAGAGGTGTTAGGTGAATGTGTCAGGTGTTCGGGATTTTGAGGCTTTGTCGTGGTTTCGACTCTCACCCGTCTTGTTGGTAGAGTTCTTCCGTTCTTTTGTGCCTAGGGTCTCCAGGTTGTCATCCCCAGGCTTTCCTGACAAAGCGGCCGAACAACCAGACAGCACCACATCTTCCCCGAAGGCTACAAAAGCGTGACTAGAAGGACTCTTGGAAGTTCGGGGTTTGAGGTTCTGACTTCTAGGTTTGGTGCGGCAAGAGCTTTGGGGGCTATAGGGGCTTTGGGGCCTATGGGTCCTGGGAGTTCGACTTCAGGCAATGTAGCGTTCAGGGCTGCAGGGTCTGCGTGCAACTGAAACGAGACTCATTGCCATTTGTACATGCCTGCCTTGCGGGCGGAAGCTTCGGATTCTTCTGGCTTTAGTACTTAGTCCAAAGTGCAGGACACAAGTCACGGATGAAGAGTCTCATCAAAACCCTGAGCCTGACTTGCTGGCTCAGCCGAGTGGCTGGATGCCATGCATCGCATAACCAGAGGAACTGCAGGAAAGCTCGTCGTCATACCATAATCGTATTCCAAAGCCCCTATAAACCTATGCACCCAAACCCATCTGGAGGAAGGTCCCCTCACAAGGAGACCCCGGATATACAGATATTCCCGGAGCGCCCAAAAAACTCTCTCCAAGGCGCAGATAACATGTGTATTCGAAGGATTCTAAATGGACTTGCTGATCTAAACCTTGAGATTGGAAATACAGGGACATGGTTGGACGTAAAGGCTCCTTACAAAGTCACCTGATCGTCCAAGTAGACCCACACACCGTGTAGACCTCTAAACGCTCTTGTCGCCCGATACTTGGGGGATCATGGGACTTAGTAACTTAGTAAGTAGGGTCATAAGTACCTTAACTGGGGATATAACTAATTAAAACTGTAGTTACCTTACTTATAACCCCAATTACTAAGTCCCACGATCCTTTAAGTCGGCCCTAAACCCTAAACCCTCATAGAACCCCTATAGATCCCTTAAAGGAACCCCTTAAAGGAACCCCAATTACTAAGTCCCACGATCCTTTAAGTAGAAGCCCTGTAAAAGCCCCTTCAGCCCTAGAACTGCAATCCTAAACCCTAGAATAAAGTAGAACCCTCAGCACTAAACCCCTGCAGGGTTTAGGGTTTAGGACCCTACAAACCCTAAAACTCTGAATGCCTAAAGCCCTAAACCTAAAGTCCTATAGCTCTCAAGCCTAAACTCTTTAACCCTTAAGCCTTGCCCCAAACTCCTAAAGCCCTGTAGACCCTGTGGGGCCTCCAGGCCCAGCGCTGCCGCAGAACGCTGCAGCGCCGCCTTGGACAGCGCCGGCGCGGAGCGACCGGCGAGCTCCTGTTGAAGTCTCCGAGGGCTCCTTAGAAGGGTTCCTTTAACGACTATCCTCTTGAAGTATCTAAGGGTTCCTTTAAGCGGGTGTAGGGTTCCTGTAAGAATTCTAGGTCGAAGATACCAGTCCCCGGATTATTTACAATTTAAGGGCCTTGATAATTGCCGATATTACGGCTGATGATATATATCCTGCATTACCAAGGGTTCCCTTAATGCTTGCATGCTTAAATGGATGCCTGAATGGTGCCTCAAGGGGTTCCTTGAAAGGCTTCTTGAAGGTGTTCCTGAAACGGGTTCCTGAAACTGGGGTTCCTTTAAAGGGTCCCTTGAAAGCCTAAACCCTATAAACCCTATACCCCTAAACCATGCGATGCAGCCTAGACCCTAAACCCCTAAACATTCAACCCTTAACCCTAAACCCCTACTTGGAGGATCATGGGACTTTGTAAGTAGGGTTAGAAGTACCGAAGTACCTTAGTTGGGGTTATAACTTATAACCAATTAGTTATAGCTATAGCTACCTTACTTATAACCCCAATTACGACGTCCCATGATCCTTTAAGAAAACCCTAAACCTAAGCGCCATCATGAACCCATTCTGACCCCTCAACCCCATTATAAAGCCCTAAACCCTAAAAGGCCCCTAAAAGGGCCCTAAAAGCCTAAACCCCTGAACTCCCTATAGATCCCTTTAGAGGAGTCCTTACAGAACCCCTAGAAACCCCAAAGCCCCCTCCTTCTCGCGGAGCTTCTGCAGGAGGCTCTCGAGCTCCCCGCGCACCAGGAAGCCGCGCTCCTCGACGTCGTGGGCGCGCCAGATCTCGCCGACCTCTGTGGGTTCCTTTACAGGATTCCTTAGAAGGAACCCTTAAAGGATTCCTTAAAAGGAACCCTTAAAGGATCCCTTAAGGGACTCTTTAAGGATCCCTTAAGGGACTCTTTAAGGATCCCTTAAGGGACTCTTTAAGGATTCCTTAAAAGGAACCCTTAAAGGATCCCTTAAGGGACTCTTTAAGGATCCCTTAAGGGACTCTTTAAGGATCCCTTAAGGGACTCTTTAAGGATTCCTTAAAAGGAACCCTTAAAGGATCCCTTAAGGGACTCTTTAAGGATCCCTTAAGGGACTCTTTAAGGATCCCTTAAGGGACTCTTTAAGGATTCCTTAAAAGGAACCCTTAAAGGATCCCTTAAGGGACTCTTTAAGGATCCCTTAAGGGACTCTTTAAGGATCCCTTAAGGGACTCTTTAAGGATTCCTTAAAAGGAACCCTTAAAGGATCCCTTAAGGGACTCTTTAAGGATCCCTTAAGGGACTCTTTAAGGATCCCTTAAGGGACTCTTTAAGGATCCCTTAAGGGACTCTGTAAGGATCCCTTAAGGGACTCTTTAAGGATCCCTTGAAGAACCCCCTTAAGGATCACTTAAAGGGAACCCTTAAAGGATCCCTAAAAGGACTCCGAAAGGATCTTCTGAAGGGGACTATCAGAGGCGGTTGGGACTAATACTATATAGCGGTTTATGGGTTTAGGAGTTTATGGTTCCGATATTGAGGTTTAGGGTTTAGGCTTTGGGTTGGAGAGTTGGATTGGGGACCTCATGTAAGAGTCCTACATCGCACCGAACCAAGAACGACTGAACGTGCTTATAAAGTTGCTATACGAGTTAACACTCCAGCGCTTCATTGCTATGTGGCGTTTAGGTCCCTGATGCTGCTGTGTTCTTGGGCCCGTAATCGAAAGCAACGCATGCACCTGACGAAGAACCCCGCTGGTTCTCAGAAGGGCTCTTAACATGGATCCAGGCAACGGAATGACGGAAAAGTGCACAGCTATCACCTAGGCTTACCACAAACTGTACGGCCTACTACCACCGTCGCCTTCAGAATCGAGAGGCTAACCTCGAGTTTGTGTTGTTGTTGGGCTTAGGCCATGGTTATATTACGCTTTTGAGACTTCAGCGCTTCGGGATCAAGGGGCGCTTCGGGTTCGAGGGTTTCGGGCCAAGTTTTGGGTCTTAGAGGTGGAGGGTCTAGATTCAGGGGATCAGCGATGCGTCGAGAAATATCAGATTGCATGAGGCCAGGTTGAGCGAGTTTCGATTAACAGCCTTTCTGGAACTCTCTTTCGCTTGTGTTTGAAGTGCTCCTCGACACTAGCTACACACAACCGAAGGGAAACCACATGAGTAAGACCTAGACTGTCAAAAACTTGCAAAGAGTGAACCCTAAACCCTTAAAACCCCAAATGCCAGAACCCCTTCGGTTTCGTCGACGTGTCGCCTTGCACGCGAGAAGAACGGAGGCCTGGCCTTGCAGGACCTCTGCAGAACTTCGCGTGCTGCGAATTCAAACCCTACGGGTCCAAGTCAGACTCCTCCTTTCAGCTTTCGGATCCCCGAAGGCCTAAACTTTCACTTCTTGGAGCCTCTGGCTTCTTTTGGAAACAGAACCCCCTCAAACCAGAAAACAAATAACAGTTCAACACTAAAAACAGTTCCAAGCCTTTGGACCCAGCGGGATACGTAAAAACACAATGAAGCGATGGCTTCCTACAATTGGGGGCCAGCCTCAAAGCGGGAAGAATCGGATAAGGGCGCCTTGAACGGTTCCTTTAAGGGCTCCTGTCTACTCTGGGCTTTCGGGTGCAGGCTTGATGACTATAGTCCGCATACAATTGCATCATCGTGTGGAAGAGTTTCGAAAAAATGGAACAGCCATGCTCAAGGTCTGCCGGCTCTAGCAACATGTAGAGACAAGTGCGCTTGTTGTTTGGGATGTAGATTCGTGACTAACCAACGGACGCGAAAAACGGTACCAGTCATTCAGATTTTCTCGGCTATGGTCAGGAATTGTGCACGTCGACCTCTTCAAGTTTGGCCGTAAGCAGCTGCAGCTTTCTTGCTTATTCTTCCCTCTCCAAGGACAGGCCCGCGCAATGAGCTACATAAGGCTTGCACAAGGCGTAAGCTAATTAAACTTGCCGGGAGATGTGTGCAAATACAGGCATGCACTGCTCTCAGCAAATATGTCCCGTCTGCTTGAACTGGAGTCCCCAATGTTCAGACGACTAGTTTTTTTCTCTATGACCCATGTTTCTTTCAAGATGACAGTTGCGTAGATGCTTTGGGTGCAGGGACTCGATTTGGGACTTCACGGATTGCATACCACAGCACGCATGATATTGAAACAAAGGCTTTGTTGAAGGAGTCTCCGCAACCCATGGCTGTGCACTCACTACATCTCGTCCAGGATAGGAACATCATCATCTCCGAACCTCCTTCGAGAAGAAGGATGAGGAAAGTCTTCATCTCCATGCAGCCAGCTCTCCGGGCCGACCTCTCTGCACTCCACCTGGACTGTGCGGAACAACAAGAGAAAAGACAAGTTCTTGAGAATCCGGGCCTGCAAAAGACTGTGTTCAGGCTTTGTTGAATCTGTAAGTTAACTTACTAATGAGACTAGCTACCAAGCTCCATGACCCGAAAGACTTTGCAAAGCTCTGCAGAAGCCCTCAACGACAACTTGCCAACATCGTTGCAAATCAGCCCGAACCTGTTCAAGAGATACGCTCCGCTTGGTGATTTCGTCCTGGAGAGCCGAACGGAAGGCCGCGTACCTGAGTTGAGCTTCAGGATTCAGGGCTCAGGATGCTTGGATCTTCGATGGACCACAGCGAGGAAGACTAAGTTCCTTCGAAGTCCCCGAAGCCTTTACCTTTCTGACCCTACAACAATACTACAACACTCTCACGAAAGAGGGACTTGTCAAAGGCTGAGGAGCCGATTCTCGCTGTCCAATTTCCTGGGCAATGATGGCAAAACTTGGAAGCACAGTTTTCTGGATAGCTGGGCTTGTTGATTCGTCCTCAGGTTTGTGCAAAGCCCGGGAGCAGGTTCGGTCAGTAACGAGGCTTCCAGCAATCCTTCCTAGTCCATGGACACAGGCTGAGATCCCTGCTCATATGACCAAGCAAGATCACCCAGCGCCAGGTCCGAAATGGTTGGAAGCACGGTGTCGAACTTGCCCACACAAGCATTCAGCAACGGCTCGTGGCCTGCGGTTCAACAAGCTCTCATTCCAACAAGCTCTCATTCGTGTCCAGAGATGGCTGCCTCATGTAATACAGGGTTATGAACTTATGGTCAGCCCACTCGGAATCCATGAAGAAACACCTGAAGGGCGGACGCCGGCAAGTGACCACACAATCATTCCGGGCTTGCTCTGAGGGAAGGCATGGCTCGTGAGGCTCGTGACAGAAATCCTTCATCGTACATCTAGGATCGCCAGTAACCTAGGAAGGGCTACCTTTTCGGTATTGGGTAACTTTATAAGGACCTACGACTACACAAAGGGAATAAGGGTACTACTGGGCATCCTAGACATGGAGCCTGGCATTTGCAGCTTCGCGAGCGAGTACATCATAGGCGGCAGACACGTCGTCACAACAGCTGCATCTGCATCTCGAACCTTCTTTACCATTGCATCTGCAAAGGCATCCATGAGGGCAGCGTCCTGCAAGTGCTGCTGGGACATTCATGCACTGCACTCGCACCCGTGCGGCTCGCCAGGCACATTCTGCAGCTGGAACATCTTACACTACCACGTTAACGCCTACGATTGGACGCAGATACACGTAGAAGCCGCAGTGCTGTGGCCTGTAGCTGCACGAAGCAGAACATAAAGCTTATTCGTCCGCAGAATATCTTAGGGCTTCAGTGTCGGCTTTGCAGAACTGTTTAAAGACGAAATGAACCCTAAAAGGGTTTAAGGCTCATATATACCATATAGGGATTCATAGTATGAATCCCTATATGGTATATGAACCTTAAACCCTTTTAGGGCTCATATTTTAACCCTCACTTCCAAAGGTGACTTGGTCCTTAAGGCTAGCTAGCTGCTCAATCATTGCCGGGAAAGGAACTCCGGCCTTCCAACCACTCAGCGCCAAACCCAGGCAGGAGTTCGAGATCTGTGGTGGGCTGAACGATGAAAGGGTCGAGCGGGCCTCCTTGCACATCCGTTGCAGGAGCGGTGCTGATGTTGCCCCTTCTAAACGCAGAATGCCAGCAGACCATAAAATCGTGGCGACACCTTGTGTTGCAAACGGTCTATCCAACTTGCACGCCTTCTTGCATAGCCTCTCGCTTGTTGCCACCACTTCGGGCAGCTGCTGCAGCATCGCAACTGCGCGCAACACCTCAGAAATTTCCATAGGATTCAACTTTGCACTGTCAGCCTTCATGAATGCGTCCAATAGCGATGGCAACAACTGAACCGAAACTGGGCACTGCTGATGCAACTCTGCGAGGGACCAGATGACCATGGCCACGCACGGAAGGCTTCTGCTGGATAAGTGTTCTTTCACACGTGGAACGAAGATCGGCACCAGCTTAGGAAGCTCCGGGACATCCTTCAGCTTGGCGCAGGACCATATCACATCAGCAATATGCTGTTCGTTGAAATCAGGCAACACTCGTTCTGCAGCATTCCGTAGCAAGGGTAAGCTTGGGAAAAGCTTTGCTGACCGGCTCCTCAGATCAGCAGCTCCTCGAAGGATGTTTACAACATCCTGTGGCTTCAGTTTGTCCACGACGTCGCCTAGTCTGCCAGCGACGGCAGCTAGCACCTCTTCTCTTTCGGCCTGGGACAACTGCAGCCGTGCAGCAGCCCAAACTATGTTGGCAGCTCCCTGTGCATCCATGTGTGACGCTGTGGCCTTGACAGCTGCCAGTGATGATGCCCGAAGCGAACTGAGCTGTGTCGACATTCGCTGGTCCAGCTTCGCCACAGCCCATAAGATGTTGCTGCATTGGCGCTGGTCAGATGTTTTGCCCCGCTTTGCGACGCTCCGAAGCATGGATCCTCCCAATGCAAAAACCACACTGAATTGTGGATCGGCGCGCACATCAGCTGTCAATGTGTCCTGTAAATGGGCTATTCGCACAATGGCTGCAGAGACAGCGGTGAGGTCCAAGTCCGGGTTTGCAATTTCGTTGCTGATGACTTGGAGCACTTCTTTTGCTGAATCTGCTCGCATGATGTTGTTGGTGATGATATCCGGCCGCGAAAAACGACGACCTGGCATCACCAGCGGCGCTGCAAAACCTCGCAGAAAGCCACCCGCCGGGATCTGAATCGGAAGCTTATGAAACCTCGGCCAAATTGAGCAAGGTGCAGAGTAAACAGCAGGTCCCCTGGCAAAGTTCCAGCATGAGAGGCCTGGTCTCCTCAGTGATCCTGGCATATGTCCCAGCCACCTTATGCTAGCCATCACCACGACCCTCGGAGTGGGCCAACAAAGCAATGCCGGCCTCGTTATTCTACAGTCCCGGTCGACCATAGCATGCCATCGTCCTTGAGCCCTTGAAATGAAGGGACATGGAAATCCTGAATATACTGACATCGAGGCAAAGGTCTCAGACAAATCGTTAGAAAGGAAGCTTCGATGCTAAAGACTTGCAGAACCCTGGCCAAATAGTCGAACATCGCAACATGTCTACTCTACTGCACCACACACAGACATAAAGTAGCTGACTGACTAACTACCAAAGAACCCTACAGAATCAATTCCCAAGCTGTAAACAAGTAATATATCCCCTAACCCAAAGCCATCACGACCCCTGGTGCCCTCTGTTTAGGTCTTGAACTGCGTACGCCCAAGACTTGCGTCAAAACTGCTGTGAAACATCGTCGAGTTCAAGCCAAGACCGGCTTGCACAGGGTTTTTCACAGAGAACTTACCCTGCCCCTGCCCAAAAGTGTGAACCCCAAACTACATGTCTTCCAGTTATGTGCATTAATTCGTGTTCGTGAGGTATTGGGATCTACCCTCAAAACGCCCAAAAGCTAACTCCGAAGCCCGCACCCTATGAGAAAAACCATCTCGAATCCTGAATTCCGACTCATTCTTGGAAACCAACCTCTAGGATGCCCACCAAGCTAGGAATAAAAGGGCTCCCTTTTTTCGTATTGGGTAACTTTATCAGGAGCCCAGTTCTACAAAAAGGGAATAAGGGGTACTACTGGGCATCCTAGACCTCGACAGCAGATTGCAGTATTGTAGACCCCTGATTGACAACCCAGCTTCTCTTAGCGGAGTGAACCAGTACTAGCCCCTCTCTTACCCCAATGGTCCAAGCACCCAATAATCATACACTCCCCAAAGTCCTAACCTACATAACTACTATCCTAAAACCGAGTACCTAGTTATTGGGTCCTTTGGACCCTTGGGGTTACCCTTGTTTCGGATTTCGAGCGGCCTGCAAGCCCACGGAACTCCGGCGTGAGCCGCGGCGAGAGCCACCGGCATCGGACATTCCATGGCCCAGGAAACGAAAAATCGGACAAAATGAGAAAAAACACGTACAATCCATGCTAAGGGGTAGCTAACTTCATTGTAACTTGAACTGAGAACAACCGTAACAACAACCGAGATAGAAGGAACCATCATTGCAATCACAGCAAAAAGTCCTATAATGTGCCGTGCAAACATGAACATATCAACTGTGCTCCGGTGTCTAGTTAGCATGGGGTGGGGTGGGTCATGTAGGTAGAGTTTGGAGTTTTGAGGTGTAGCTGTTAAAGATGTGTGTGTGTGTGTGTGTGCGCGTGTGCATTCTGTTTGTTTGTTGATCTCTTTCTGACGGCCAATCACCAGCAGTGTTAAGAACAGCGCCGCTGAGGCTAACAACGGTCTGCGGCTGAGGAAAGCAGTCGTCAGAGGCTCTGGCAAAATGAAGTTCTGAAACGAAGTGAGACTGGCTAAATCAGGCGTCTCACCACCACGACAAGTCAGCCCATAGTGGAGGGATGCAAGAGCCGCACGAGGCTTTTATTCAAACCATTTCTACGGCGTCTAAAACGATCTAAAACGGCATTGTGCTTTTGCTGAAGGTAAACCAGACCGTGATCCTTTCCTGATACACACATTCGGCACAGCTGAAAGCAGCAAAAGCAGCACAGCGAAACCCTGATAGCTGACCATGGACGAAGAAATTGAAGCCAATAACCCTTTCGTGCTATCCAAAACCTTAAACCTATTCGTTGAGGCTTCCGGCCGGCTTTGCAACTTGAATCTCAGGAGCTATTGAGCTGTTGATGGTCTTCAACTTTACAAAGTAAACCATGAAGCCCCGCCTCCTGCACAAACCTGGAGACCACGAAAGCCCCAATCACTTAGCTTCCTAGCTGAATCACCAAGATAGAAATGGCTTTCATCACAAGTTGCAAACACCACTTGCTGACGATGGGTGTGTGGCTAGACCTAAGAGTAACCCAGGAATAAAAAGGGTGCCCTTTTTGGTTTAAAGGGGGTTATAAGGGAACCTGAACCCTAAAAAAGGGAATAAGGGCCTACTCTGGGTCCTAGGTGGGACAAAACGTTTGAACAACTCACAAATTCACGATCAATGCAGAGTCCATGCCTTCTGACTTACGACACCGGACCAGCGATCTTCAGAAGCTCGTAACCTTTAACTTAAACCGTTTTGGGGGTACTATCATCCCTCTATACAAATCTATCCATTATATATATATATATATATATATACTTGGAAAGGTCATCCCTTAGTTCGAGGTCAGAAAAGCTTCAACAGCCTCGGCCCCACTGAGCTCGTCATTGCGGATCTGCGCGGGACTTGGGCACAGCTTACCCCCCCCGCACCCACCCACCTCCCAAACATAGAACCCTCATTGCACAGACATTCATAGACCAGATGTTCGCAACAGTCTTTGGAAATTGGAGATGAGTTGGAGTCCTATATCGGGTGGCAGAGAACTCATGTGAATGTGTGAATCCTGGAGCCACACAGTCATACATTCATACATTACATGACTTCTCGATATGTACACATATATTACACACAAAGGTTGATTTGTGCTTGTTTTGTGCGTGGGGTTTATGGACTCCAGGACCCCAACAAGTATAGTAGAGCGCATACAAAAGATTAGGATGTATGACAGGGTATGTGATGCAGAAAGCATGGCTGAAAATGGGGTGTATGTTAAGTCTCCGTGGAGTCTACGGATTCGTTCAAGAAGAGTGAAAAGAAAGGAACTCGTGCAGCTACAAATCTTTGTATACTACGCCAAGCCCTGATAGATAGTACTGCTTGCAACTACCTCCAACACCGTTCCTTGTTCGGGCTCTCTTTGATTATGACATTAACAAGTCACGGCAGCCAGTTCTCCCGAGAAGGGGTTCACCCCACTCGAAGTACATCTCCGTTTCCTGCTCACCTGCACCCTGCATAACCTGTAAAACCTAAAACCCATGAGCAAGGGGTCCTGAATATGGCTAAAGGTACTTGCACATTCCTTTATCGAGGGCTTGTCTTGGGGAACAAAAGTTTTGTTATCTCATGGTTCATGACTCAAGACATCTCAATTCAACGAAATCTTGTAAACAAACTTGTTGCCTTTTGTGCCGCATGCTATACCCCTAAACCCTACACCCTGACGGTGGCATCGCTTCAGTGGCCTCGGCGAGAACCCTCAGCCGCTCCCGTTCCTCCAACATCACGTGGGAAGCTGGGTTTGTCTACCGGAGGGTCTAGAGTTTAGGGTTCTACAAAACTTCCTCCAATGTTTCTCTCAGGATTCCTGCAACGGTTCTAGAAAAGGGTTCCAGAAGCGGTATGGGATTTAGGGTCTCAGGTTTCGGGAAGCTGGGTTTATCTACATTTAGGGCGCTAGGTTTGGGAGCCTGCAACGTGTATTTCACGTTTCGTCCTTGAGCGCCGGAAATGGGGATGGGCTTGCGAAAGCTTGCTTAGAAGTGTGGCTGTGTGTGACCAGGACCCTTTCAGGTTTAGGATTAAGTTTCCCAGTAGATCTTACACCCAATGAAGGCTCTTAGTTCGCTTTCGTAACTCGGACTCCATGATTCTTATGTGCTCAACAGAAGTAGCGTGTCTACTCTTAGTAATTCCAACAGATATTCCCACCAGGCACAATTCACACGTACCTAGATTGGATTCCTACTTAGAACAAGGCCTGCCCATCCGAATCCTAAAGGGCACCGTAGGTCGTACATGGCTCTGGACGATGTGGGTTTTATGTCACGGCAGGTGATGCAGCCCATTCGTCGACATTGACACCATGAAGAAATATCAAGCACACTTTTCGAGGTGCCGGCAACACATTAACGAACAACCTCGTCTGGGTCGTGAAACGGAGCCGCTGTGCGAGAGAGATTCGTGCGGTGTCTTCTACATTTTGCAAGCCCTCAACCTTGATCAATGAGAGTGAAAGGGAACCTGCTTGCATTCGGCCGCGAGATAGAAATCAAACACCTCACACAAATGGCAATACGCTCTCTCCCACTCCCCAATACAACAAGCCACTTCCCCTGCAAGGCAAAAGATGTGTCCCTGTCCTGCCCCACCCCTGAAATGGGGATGCGTTGCTTGAAATTGTTCGCACAATAAGATGTAGACCTATACGCCTATACGCATGCATCAAACGCCCACTTACATCTCTGTCTGTCGTCTCTCTGACTCTGTCTATCTGCCTGTATACATACAGCTCCCTCAGTCTATCCCTTCCAATATACCCGAGTATATCGTATATAGCACGTCAAAACCCAGACAAGAAAAAACCAAAACCTCCGAATGCCGTTTCTGGCTTCTCTCTCTCGGGATCTGGTTTCCACGCTTCATCGCGCGATTTCGCTTCCTTACATCCTATAGGCCCCCTAGATCTGGAGGTGGGCAGTTTAGGATGAACGCAATCAGAGACTGGTCCTACTGCCCTGAAACCCGGAACCCGTGAGCCTTATAATCCCAAGATGCTTCAAGGGCGATAGGCATGCTTAATTTGTTCACTTGGGCAGCTCCAAGTCAGTCTGTTTAGAGGGTTTGGGGTTTCGGGTTTAGGGTAAACCCTAAACCCTAAACCCCACATCCTAAATCCTAAACCCTAAATCCTAAACCCTAAACCCTACATCCTAAACCCTAAACCCTAAACCCTACATCCTAAATCCTAAACCCTAAACCCTAAAGGGTTTAGGAAGGTTAGAGGGTTTGGGATGTTGAGGCTCTGAGGCTGGAGGTGAGGCCTTGAGACTTGCGCCCTGGGGATTAGACTGCGGGACTTCAGGCTCTGGCCCTAAGGATCCATGTACCCATATAGTACCCTAAACCCAAAGTTTGGAAAGTTTTGCTTCCGAAAATGGGGTCTCTATAATACGGATCCTACTATTCAAGGTACTATATTAGAGTCCCCTATTTTCGGAAAGGGACCATAATCCCTAAGGCTCCATGTACCCTTACAGTGTATACTTAGGCCTCAAAGTACCTATATAGGGACCCCTTAAAGGCTTAAGTGTCTACTATAAGGGTACATGGAGCCTTCAGGCTCTGGGACCTTGGAGGTGAAGGCTTCGGATTTGATTTAGGGTTTAGGGTTTAGGGTTGAGGAGGTTTAGGGTTTAGGTTCCGGGTTCTGGATTTGCAGAATAATACATAATTGTAAGATTTTTCTTTGCCCTAACCCAAGCTGTAAACCATGCAGCACGAACCCCTGTTGAATTTCGTGGGGCATAACTGCACATGGCCCTCTTTGCGACAGCCATCTGAGAAGCTTCCACATGTAGGCTGAAGGCTCAAGAGCTGAAAACATACATTCAGGAAGGAAGGTGTGCCATACATGCCCAGACAAATGCACGAGGGTTTAGGGGTCGTTCTAGACTAATCGGACACCTACAGGAGATGTTCTAACGAATGATGCAGCCCCTCTATATGAATCCGGATCGCCTTGCCTAATTGATGTCATTCTGGAGTGAACATCTCCCGCATTTTAGCTCTCGGGGAGACGGGCAAATATTACTCAACACAGGCCAAAGTTACATGACTTAGGTTTATAATCTATCCAATAAACTCGGAATTATCCCCAGGGGAGGCCAGAAAACTGGGTTAGGCTCGTCTGGAGCAGATGTATAGGGACAAAAGCACCGAATGAAATTTCTGGTATTTGTTGATTCGCTGCATCGAAGCTCTCATGGTGGATGCCGATCGAGCCAGATGGTCACTTGGAAGGGCAGGGGACTTAGTAAGTAGGTTACAAGTAGGGTTATAATTGGGGTAACTCCATTTAGGGTACTTATAACTCTACTTATAACCTACTTACTAAGTCCCCTGCCCCTCCAAGTGGTCACAAGATCATCTTGCACAGCACGGAGGACCTGCGCAGCACTCTTTACATTCCCAGAGCCGCAGCCCCTAGATCCTGTGAGTTCATTGCCCTCTTCAGTGCTGAACCCGCAAAACCCAATACCTCCAAAGAAGCCGTACAAAGTGAATCAGTCTCCAATGTAGCTCCTTTCTTCTGTTAACCATCCTTATAGTATAGTATCCGAACCGTAAACCTGCTTAACCCCCCAAAATGGAACCTACAGGTAGAGTCACCTCTTTCACACTAAGGGTGCATGTACCCAAACAGTATATACTTTGGCCCCAATGTAAATACACAGGGACTACTTTAAGGCCAATGTATATATTCTTTGGGTACATGGACCCTTAGGGCAGTTGAATAGTAGTCTTGTTTCTATTCATACGGAGCCCTCCGGGTCGACCAGCTTTGGGGTTTCGGGATGCAGGAGCTCTGCTTCCACCCAACCCGAAGCCCAAAGCCCTTTTTTTAATATCCGAACGAAATCAGAACTCAAAGTGCGGTCCGACCGAGCCGAAAGCTGAAGTCACTTTTGGCAGCATTGAGAATGCCTATACGGCTCACGACCTAAGCGAGTGGGGGCCACACCTTCGCCACATTGCCCCTAGTCCCGCGTTCCGCGTCAGGACTTTGCGTTGGGGCGGCGAAACGAACAGTTGACACATATATCATCGACACCACTTACAAATCCGGACGCAAACGCTGTGCTGAGCGGCTGGAGCTGGGTGTTGGGTTGGCTCAGCAACATATGCACCGCACGTTTCCCGGACACATTCGTTGTATGGAGGTCACGAGATGTCCCGTCCCGGCAGTATGGACTTGCAGGAACACCTGATAGGGGACAAGACCTTTTACCCCAATTAAACCCCTAAACCTATACCCTAAACCCTAAACCCTAAACCCCAAACCCCACAAGCCCCTCAAAGACCTGCTCCGCGCGCCTCAGCGCGAAGCACCTCCTCGCAGGCGCCTGCGCTTGGATGCCGCCGCGGGCGCCGTCTCCTGGCCGCAGAAGGGGGGGGGGTCACCCAGAGCCTCCAATATCCCTTAATTAAGGAATATACCTTAAATTATAGTAGGATCCCTGATATGATTTAAGGAATTTTCTTTAATTAAGGGGTATTGGAGTCTCTGGGCATGGGACTTAGGAAGTAGGGGGTTAAGGGTTCCTTTAAGGGATCTATGGGGGTACTATAAGGATTTAGGGTCTACTTGGGGGGTCATGGGATTTCGTAAGTAGGGTCTTTAAGGGGTTCCTGAAAGGGTTCTATAAGAGATCTACAGGGTTTAGGGTTTAAGGATCATGGGACTTCGTAATTAAGTAGGGCTACATGGGGTCTTTAGGGTTCCGTAAACGGCTCCTGAAAAGGTCTCTAAAGAGGGTTTCTATAAGGCTACCTATGGGGATACTTAGAAGATCATGGGACTTAGTAAGTGGGTTATACGTACCTTAATCGGGCGGCTTATGAGCAATTATCGCTGTAGTTACCTTACTTATAACACCAATTACTAAGTCTCATGGTCCTTTAAGTAGGCGTCGTGAGCCCATGCGGGCTGTGTGTGCGTGTGTAGTTATGAGTAGGTAGGTAGACAGGCAGACAGACTATATAGAGATAGATAGATGGGATAGATGGACAGATAATTAAGTACACAGACAGGCCGAACGACTTTGGATGAGAGATATCAGCAGAGAATTACAGAAAGAAAGACGGATGCAGAGAGAGCGGGAAGAAACAACAGAGAGAGAGAAAGAGAGAGAGAGCGAGAGGCAGAGACGGAGCGTGCGTGTAATTCTGCTTGTACATAAGCGCCCATACAAACTAATTCCACAAGACCAGCCCAGTGGCTTAAACCATGGAGCCCCGAACCCCCGCCAAACAGCACGAAGTAACGCTGGAGGTTTAAGGCTTGTTTTCCACATACTACAAGGGTGCTGACGACATACCCCCAAACTTCAAACCCTATCCCTGCAAGGACCTCATAGTTAGGGCCCTGGACCCCTTAAGGACCCCACAATAAGGTCCCTGGACGCATAGGGTAAATCCTAAGTCCCACGCCAAGGTGTATTGATCTGAAGAGCTTGCATTGCTTCACGTTTCGGAGGATCTAGGGGCCCATACAAACTTGTTTCACCAGACCTTGCAGGTGGCTTACCCTGAGGCCCCAAAGTAGTCCCTTTTTGGGGTTCATATTTAGAATCCTATAAGGTAATCAACAAAAGGAACTACTTTGGGGCCTATGGGTAAATCATAGAGCCCGAGCCCTGCCAAACACCATGTAACCATGCCTCATACCATGCGGATTGTGCTTTAAGGATTTAGTGGTATTGCACAGCTGTGATGCAGGGTCTTTGAAGCCACACGTGGCTCCTCAGCAGCCGTCTTCTTTGTAGGCGGCACAATGACCTGCCAAGCACTGCACTCCCAGAATACTTGACAGCCTAGGCTGAAGAACCGGCTAACCCTTTCTACAAACCCTTACTTGGAGGATCATGGCACTTAGTAAGTAGGGCTATAAGTACCGTAATTGGGTGTCATAAGTACATTAGAACTATAGGCACCAGACTTATAACGCCAACTACCCAGGCCCATGATCCTTAAGGAACCCTCAAGCGTAGTTTTTTTCCAGTCTGTTCAGACCGTGAATCTCTAGGTTTGCAGATAGGGCTTCCCAGACTTTACAGTACCCGTCTTCTTCAGGGTCCCACAAGCGCCACCATGAAGATTCGATAGGGGTTTCGTAAGGCCCTGCCTATAGTCTTCATTGTAAATCCAGTTTCGGTTGCCTAAACGTTTGTTTGCAATCCTGGCTGAAAAAACTCAACATCCAGAGGGAAGTACAACGGAGACGATACGTCATACCTGATTCTCGTGACGAAACACCCACCAAAATCACCCCAAACTATCCGTCGGACAAATGCTGAACTCTGACTCAGTTGCCGACGTCATGCAATGTGTGTCGCCCGCCCTTCGAGATCAAGCTTTTGGAAATTGCGGGGAAACTATGAGCCTGAACCTTGGAGTTTTGAGGTTGCAGATGTAGCCTTGATTAGCCCCGACATCGGCGTGCGGCCTCCTAACCACTTCAAAATCCTGATTAATTCCACTCCAACAGACAGAAGTGAATATCACCATAAACCTATAGAAACCCGTCATAGAAACTGAGAATCATGCTTCACACCCAGAGACTCCAATACCCTAAGGGTCCTTGTACTCCTATATCACATACATTGGCCTTAATGTAGCCCCTGTTTAGGTATTTTAAGGCCCAAATATATCCTAACGGGTCCATGGACCCTTACTTGGAGGGGCAGGGGACTCAGTAAGTAGGTTATAAGTAGAGTTATAAGCACCCTAAATGGAGTTACCCCAAGTATAACCCTACTTATAAACGTCTTACCAAGTCCCCTGCTCCTCTAAGCAGACCCTAAACCCCATAGATGCTTTTCAGGAACCCTATAGATCCCTTTAAGCAGCCCTTTAAGAACCCTTACCAAGTCCCCTGCCCTTCCAAGTAAGGCCCAAAGTAGTTCCTTTAGGTACCTTATAATTGGGGTTATGAGTAGTTATAACTGTAGTTACCGTACCTATACCCCCGATTACTAAGTCCCATGATCCTTTAAGTATCCCTTCGCCTCGACCAGATCTTTCAGCAGCGCCGGGCGCCGCGAAACAAGGCGGCTGTAAGCCTGGACAGCAGAGGCACTTTTAAGGCCTAAGTGTATACAGTATACCATGCCGGTGCATGTACCCTTGCGGAGTATAGAGGTTTAGGGTTTGGGGGGTAGATACGGGTTTGTCAAGGGTTCTTCATAGAGAGTTGTAAATTTCAGGGTGTGATACGGAGTATAGATTTGAAGCCCGGGGGTTTGAGAGGGGTTTGGGGGCTTGTCGGCGTCTTCGGGGCTTGGGGTGTTGCCCTTAGAGCTTTGACAGTTTGGGGTTTGGGATTTAGTTTGTAGAGGTTAAGGATGCAGGGATAGTTCAGGGGTTTTGGAGGTATTCGATGCCTCAGTAGGGTTGGCATTCGGGCGTCCAACCTTTGCCGTTCTAGCTTTGGCGAGCCACAGCCCCTGCAAGCTGTACATGCCAAGCTCGAGCTGCCAAGAACCCGAACACAGAGGGCCCCAAACGGCCTTTAGGGTTTCGGTACATAGGGTTTAGGTATATAGGGTTTAGGGTTGAGGCATATAGGGTTTAGGTATATAGGGTTCCGGTACATAAGGTTTAGGGCTTGTATATAGGGTTTAAAAATGCCGGAACGTGCAATAGCCTTGTGCTCTCATGTTCCCAGGCCTCTGTAGCTTGGATATCACCCAGCCGCAGCGAAATGAACTCCAGGCACTGAGCCTACAGCACAAGGTTAGGGTTTCTGGAGCTGAAGTGTTTGTAGGCAAAGGGCGCATGGGTTTGGGGGTTTTGTTTCGGAGCTATCCTTCGGGGTTTGGGCTCCTGGTTTCCTTTGTATTTCCTGCTTTGGGTTGCCTTATAGGATCCTGAATATAAACTTGCCCAAAGGGTCCTAGGTACCAGTGTGGGGGATACTTGCCCAAACCATAAGATTAATTCCTATTATAGAAACCCTACATTCTACCATATAGGTACTTTGGACCCTTTGGGTTGGCTACCCAGGGGCCCCAACGTAGTTCCTTTTTAGGTAGTATATTAAAGTCCGAAACCAAAAAAGAGGACACACCCAAAAAGGAACTACTTTGGGGCCCCTGGGTAGACATGAGTAGGCGTTAGGATCTTGAGGCTTGGGGTTCTGGGCTTTGAAAGGCTCAGGGCGGATTGACGGTCAGGATCAGGGTCGCTACTATACGGTTTAGCCCTGAAGGGGCTCAGTGTTTAGGGTTTAAGGGTTTAGGGTTTAGGGGTTTAGGGGTTTAGGGGTTTGGGGGTTTAGGGTTCAGGGCTAGGGCTTACGACGTTGATCACTCATTTGGTTGGCTGAGCACTCGCCGAACACTTCCCGGTCTGAAGGCTTGAGTGATCGATACGCTCAGGCGTTGTATGCCTGGGATCTTGAGCCTATCCTTCCAAGGACCTCGTAGTTAGGGCCCTAGACCCCTTAAGGACCCAACAATAAGGTCCCTGGAGGCAGAGGGTTCAGTTCTAAACATCTTTACAAACCCTCAATACTTCTGACACCTTGACACCTCTGATGCCTAGCCCCTCGACAAGTGTTGCGAGCCCTTCCTTCCTTCCCCAAAAACTTGAAACTGTGAAACCACATTCTTCGTGCTTTCGAAGATTCATATGATCACTACAAAGAAAACCAGGGAGGGGGCCTTGAAGTATCTAGGTTTGATTGAACGCAGGAGGACCCTAAACCCCAAACCCCTAAACGGGGCCTTGAAGTATCATATAACCCTAAACCCTAAAACTCTAAACCCCTAAATGCCTTGAAGTATCATATAACCTTATAACCCTACACCCTCAAACCCTAAACCATAAAGGCCTTGAAGTATCTGTTTCCCAGCAGTTCTGCCATCTCCAATCGTTCGGCGGCCGTCTCTACTCTGAGGCGGCCGACGAGGACCTGGCAAAGCTGGGCTTCAGGGGGGCTTCTGTAGGATTTTAGGGTTTAGGGTTTGGGGTGGGATTCAAGGCTTCTGTAGGGTTTGGGGTGTAGGGTGTAGGTTAGGGTTCGGGGTTTAGGGTTTAGGGTTCGGGGTTCCGGTCGATTGCCGGGCACAGGAGCGCAGTGAAAACGCTCCATAAAAGTGGCGAGGCCGAACACCCCTGCCTTAGCCCCCAGTTCGGTCTAACCTCCCTGGAGTCTCCTCGATGGTGGAAAACATACACCACCTGCCTAAGCCATTGCAAAATGATCTCGCAAGTGGAGGTCTCTACTCCGGCCATGCACAGAGCGTCGTGCACATGTCCCCAGCCCACCATGTCGAATGCAGCCGTGAGGTCAAGGCTGACTTGCAAGCCTCCGAAGAAGTGATTCGTGGGACACCTTTGTGCTTCTCATGGAGATTGAAGCGAACGCTGGCACAGCCTCTGTGAACTTGCTCGCAATGGGAGAAGACCGCGGCAAGGGCTGTCACTGTACTTCTGCCTGGGATGTACGCAGTTTGTGGCCATCGCGAAACCACCTCAGCAATCCTGGCCTTGGCTCCCGCAATGACTGTTTTCATCAGAGCCTTGCCCACTGGGTGTTGGAGGCCGATGGGTCTTCAAGGGGCTTTTGTAGGGTTTAGGGTTTAGTTCAAACAAGGCTTTGTAGGCAAGGTTCCTGAGTGACCCCTTTACAATAATAAGGGTACTCTTTTTCCTACTATTCAGTTTTCAGAAGGGGACCCTAAAATACAAAAGGGCAAAAGGGTATTAGGAACCTTGTAGTGGTTTCTACTGGGGCTCTCCCAGACTTTCCTAGCTTGGCCCCTTAAAGCCTATCAGAAATATTCGTAAATAGGGTCCTATTAAGCCCAATAAGGGAAAACATAAAATGTCCCAAAGGCCTACCTAGTTTCTAGAAGAGTTCTAGCGGATTTGACAAGGCCCAGTCCCAGGTTCTTTGGGTATCGGTGGGCTTTATGCGTGACCGGCCCCAACCGATGCATTCTACCCGAGATCTTGAGTTCGTGAACACAGATCCCCCGAACAACGAAGACCAAAGAACCCTAAACCCTACACCCCTAAGCCAACTCTTGACCCTTGGGGCTTTGAATTTTGGTCAACTTCGTCAGCTTCGGACATCTCGGGGGGTTTGGAAGGGAGTGGTAACGGAGCAGTCAAACCCTCTGAAGACCTTCTGGAATGCGAAACCCACAAACACAGAGCTGAATTGAAGAACATTCTTAACCAACATTCGCACTATGAATCTAATTTTCTGCAACTCCCAAACCCTATATACCCTCAACACCCGGACCCCACAAAAGACAGACGGCCGGGGCTCTAATCGAACCCCGCAAGCAACTCTTACAGTGTCACTTCAACCCCACACCTGCAAACCCAAAACCGTAAATCCCACACCCCCAGAGACTCCAATACCCCTTAATTAAGGAATATTCCTTAAATCATATTAGGGATCCTACTATAATTTAAGGCATATTCCTTAATTAAGGGGTTTTGGAGTCTCTGGGCCCAAAGCCCTAGATCCCCAACCCCAACTCCCTTCTTCAACAACCGGGCCCAAAAAAGTGCAAACTTTCTGAAAGAGAGCTAATAAATAAGGCCAAAACGTTTAAAGTTCCGCCGTTCGCTATCTAAGCCAAACCCAAACTCTACTGAACTTAGAGTCCCAGCATAAATTATCTTTTAGCTGTCGTTTGTTAGGGATTATAGGAACACGAACCAAAGGTTAAAAGCAAATCTAAGTACCCCTGCGCTTAATCCCAAACCCGAAACGACAATGCTCCACCCAAGCCCAGCAACCTGCACGCAGCGGTCGACGAGGCCGGGAACCTCGTAACGATGAGCTGCCTCGCGGAACCCCCCCAGAGACTCCAAAACCCCTTAATTAAGGAATATGCCTTAAATTATAATAGGATCCCTAATATGATTTAAGGAATATTCCTTAATTAAGGGGTATTGGAGTCTCTGGGCCCCCGGCTCCCTTTAAAAAAGGGAGTCCCCCGCCTTGGGAGTTCCATCAGTGTTTAGGGTGTAAGGGTGTGCTTTAAAGGGGCCCCTTTAAGGGCTCTCTTGGGGGCCCTTTGGGGTTCCTCAGAAGTTGAGGGCTTAGTTCAGGGCTTTGGGGGTTTCTTTAGGGTTTAGGGTTTAGGGGTTAAGGGGTTAAGGGGTTAAGGGTTTAGGGTTTTAGGGTGGGGTTTCTTCGAAGGTTGTTTGGCTGGTTTTAGGGTCCATACACGTCTCGTATATTCTTTGACCCGAAAGTACCTATACAGGCACCCCCCCCGGAAGGCAGAGTCTGTACTATACAGGCACAGTGACCCCAATCTTTGACAACTTGGGTGCTTTTGATCTTTCTACAGTTGCATGAACTTTTTTTTGGGGCATTGCAAAGCGGCTTATTTATATACACGGTTCTTTAGGATGGAGGCACTTCAGGCGAAAGTGGCGCTGTGCGTACGGTAAATATATTCAGATACCTGATACCCCTTCCCTTTAAAACATGGCCCTACCCAAAACTAAAAGTGCACATGAAAAATTCCGAATGGAAGGTTTTCCGAGGAGGGCTTGCAGTGTTTACTCGAAAATCCTGGGTAAGGTTGGGCATGAAGTCTGGGAGTCTAGGGGCTGCAGGTGCGAACTCTTAAGTTGGATTTGGCACGGCCACAAAGCGGCTTCTGGAACTGCGCAGTCTGATGCTTTAAGGGCTTCGAGATGAGCTCTCTGTAGGTTGAAAGTTGAAGTGAACTGAAGCATGCAACTTTCGAAGGCCCTATGGCACTGTTGGTTCCCAACTTGTGGCTCGTGCCCGAAGCGGCTTAGCTACAATCGTTCTACGCGTGCTCTTCGCATATGAGGTCCGCCTAATATCATGTCGCACTGCCTCATCAACAGCATCCCACATTACTTTTGACTTTCGACTTTCGAAGTGCGCCACCACAAACACCAAACAAAAAACACAAACCTCCTCACGCCAGGAAGTTCGAGCAAACCCCCAAACACACAGCCAGGGAAGCTTAGCCACAAACCTATGCATCTTTCAGCAAAGCCATCGAAGTCTCGTGTAACCGACAGGGGGGTGAACCCTAAACCCCAAGCCCGAGGAGGCCTGAAGCAAGTTCACCGCATAGTCGTCGCTTTCCAAACCCACATGGTCCACGACTCCCGTATAAAGGTATTTGACCTGGGACTTATAGGGCTTTTCGGTTCAGGGTTCAGGCTTTACGGGTCTTGGACCTGGGTTTTCTTTTGACCTGCGGTTTCTGCGTCTATAGGGTTGGGAATTCCTGGAGAGTGGCTCAATGCAAAGCCTCTTCTGCATGTTCGGAGCCAGGATTCATGCTTTGGGGTGCATAGTGGCCCCCTCTGTTCCCCTGTTTCGTGCGACCTGCGGAGAACGTATATAGTAGTTAAGGCCCTCCATAAGGAGCCCTTAGACAACCCTTAAAGCAGCCCTTGAAGGAGCCCTTCAAGGAACCCCTATGGAACCCTTCTAGGAATTGAGATTAATTGGGTTTAGCCGCGAAGGTTTGGCAATTTGGATTTGCAAGAGCACTCATAATTGGTGGTTTCCAGGTGTGGGGTTTGTAACTACGTTACATAGGGTTCGGGCCTCCACAAACCGAGGCTGTGGCACCCTGTGAAAACAGGTCATAACATCAGAACTGATTATGGGGCATAACCATGTACAACCCTGGAGCAGTTAGTGACTGGAGCCGCAAGTGCACCATACAACGCTTATTCAAAACCCGGACAAAAAACAACCGCATGTCAGAACGCTCGTGGTTGCTCGGAAACATTCTTGAACTAAGGCCTCAAGCCCTGTTATACTATACTATATGTCATTACATACGATGTCACACGATATCACGTTATGTTATTCAGCTATGTTCTACTATATTACGTTACCCTGAACCCCAAAACCCTAATCTGTGAAGCCGTTGAAGCACTGTCAACCCTACAGCAAACCGTTGTAGGCTCAGGCTTCTCCTGGCTTTGGGATGCCCTGCCCCCCCCCCAGCCAAACCTGTAGGATCTTGCGCTACCACTTTTTCTAGGGCACCTGCAGATTCTCGCCACAGGTAGAACTAGGTAGCCAGGTAGCCAGACAAGGCTAGGGAATGACCCTGGAGGAATCACCAAAACTGAACAACTCCGTCTCACTGTCCACTCATGCCACTTTCTTCGTGTGCCTGTGAACCCGTGCATGCCACTTCTTATTGACTTATTGAAACTTTGACGCTCCTAGTTGCAGCGAAACTTGCGCATCTCTTTCTGAAGAACCGTCTGGGTGCCCAAGCCAGTGCGCGCATCGATATGGCATCGAAGTCCTCCGCGTACCATTCAGCCGAGATGGGTGCTACATCGGATCACAGTTTGCATGCTACCCAGAGACTCCAATATCCCTTAATTAAGGAATATTCCTTATAAATCATATTAGGGATCCTACTATAATTTAAGATATATTCCTTAATTAAGGGGTTTTGGAGTCTCTGGGTATGCTGCTCGACTTGACGGTGTAACAGTGTCTCCCTGGTAACACAGCCTCTTGTAGGCTACTGCCGTCAGCCCTACATCATCGTCATAGCTTGATACACTCCAAGAAAGAGCCAATTGGGCATCTATAGGGTGGGCATTGAAAAACTAATTACTTGTCGGGACCGTGGGTGATTCCGACTCAAGGTTCAGCTTGGGCGTAAAGACTGGATTCATGAAACTGAAAGGGTCGGGATACAATGTTGCAGATTCGATCCCGAGGATTTGGAAGAAGAAGTCAGGTTCAGGGATATTCAGATCAAGTTCAACTTCAGCCAACCCAGCCAACCTTCTTAAAATCTAGGCCCTGTGTGAAGTCGTTGTTCTTCCTGCTTGTCCAGTTTCCTAAGGGCAGCAGAGGTCAACCCGTTGCGGGGCCTTTATGGCTGTAACAGAGTGTCGGGATGTATTACCCGTAGTCATAACGAGGAGTCCCAAAAAAGTACTGGTAACTATCTAGGCCCCTATGGTATACAGGGAATAAGCCCACAAGAAGTTTTATGGTCACCTACTCGTCTATAGTACCACCTTCGCAGCTTCAATGGCCGAAACCCATCCGTTGATCTCCGGGGTGGACGTCACAGCGAAAACCGTGACATAGAAGATCCTCAAAAGATCGCGAATCCCCTCACCGCAGGCATGATATCGGAAATCCGTCCAAGGACGATATCCGATGTAGTCGGAACCTCTATTACGACAACGTCGTGAGAGGGTTGCTGAGACAAGCGAGAATGCTGACGCAGTGCACAGTGGCTTCATGCCACGCATGCCGCAGGCAGCCGAGAAATGGGTGGTTGTCAAAATTATGGTTCCTTTTCGGGTCCCTATTATAGTACGGCACCTAATATTTAGGGTACCCCAAAAGGGGCCATAATTTTGACAACCACCCAAATAGAAAGAATCCAGACGCCGGCAGACAGGCTGCCAGGGTTTGCACGCGCTGTAGCTGTCGCGAAGGCCTCACTCCCCAGAGACTCCAAATTAAGGATGTACCTTAAATTATAGTAGGGTTTCTAATATGGTTTTAAGGAATAACCCTTAATTAAGGAATATACCCTTAATTATAGTAGGGTTTCCAATATGGTTTTGGAGGAATAATCCTTAATTAAGGGATATTGGAGTCTCTGGGTCCAAACAGCTTAACCCTAAGCCTCAACCCGTTGCACCCAGCCTGCCCATGCAGTAGAGCTAGCCAGTGTAACTCCTTCTAGGGCTTAGCCTGCTAATGAGAAAGTTCTTAGGCTCTCGAGCGAAACCCGAGCCAGTCGCTGCGAACCCTGCTGGTATGGGGCAGTATAGTCAGTTTGCGGTGAACATGAATCTGAAGCCATGCATCCCTAAATCCAAAACCATAAACCCTAAATCCTGAAGGCCTGCAGTAGAAGCCGGAAAGCTGGAACATCATTAGCCTCATGCCCTTAACCGTATGGAATAGGGAATCCCCGCATGAATCATCCTAAATCAATGTTCCAACTTTCTGGGGTTCACTATAGAACCCAAACAGCAATCCGTCGACATGGGATACACTCCTGGACCAGCACTTCGTTGTCAGTTGTCTCCTTCATGGGGCCTCGGTTGGGTAAACCCTAACCCCAACCCTAAACCCTGAACCGTTCCTGAACCCTAAAGCCAGTAAAGCCCAACCAAACCCTACAACTTGAGAACCAAACCCTAAAACCTGCACCCTAAACCCGAAAGCAAAGAACCTGAACCCTAAACCCTAAGAGGGCTTACCCTGAGCTGCCAAAACCTAAAATCTACTTTTCAAACATTTTGTAGGGTCCCAGCAATGCACCATCAGGGTTTATAAGAGTAACCTACAACAAAGATTTAAGGTTATGGCAGTTGAAAGTGTAGTAAGGTAGGATTAAGGGTCATGGGGCTTAGGACTTGAGTTTTGGAATGATGGTTATCAGTATGCGCACTACATGGTTGGGTACTTGAAGTAACCAGAGGAAAACGTATAAACTCTATTTGCATAATGGTTCCATTACAGAAGACAACGCAAACAACAGCATTAAAATATAGTACTTCAGAACCCAGTCATTGGGTAATTGATGGTTCGCGAAGGCTGGCCATTCTTTTTGTTTTACACAGTCTTGGAAACCCACTTGAGCGTGCCATGCATCATTGGTTCCGCCGCGGCTTTTTCGAACAGAAACCCCGGATGTTTAACCCTGGCCCCAGAAACCTAAACCCACAAACCAGACCTGAATGTCAAAAACTAAGCCCTTAACCCAAAACCTAAACCTTGTACAGTCCTAAATCTGAACTCTTTACCAACCTAAACCCATCTGAATCCTAAGCCCTAATTAAACCCTAAACCCTGAACCCCTAAACCCCTAAACCCCCAACAACCCAAACCCTAAAACTTAAACCGTAAACCCTAAACCCTAAAATGCCCTAAACCCTGAACCCTAAGCCCTCAACATCTCGGGTGTCGTAGCCCAGCTGCAAGAGAACATCCTCTCGAAGACGGGCGAGCGCGCGGCAAGGATCAGCCGGTGGGCGTCGATGGTCTCGCTGCCCACCTGCCCAAAAACTCCAATGTCCCTTTAAAGGGTTCCTGTAAGGGTTCCTATATGGTTTGGGACCTAGGCCTAGGAGTGTCCAGTATTCCTACATCAAGGAATATTCTTTAAATCATATCGTATTAGAGAAATATCCCTGCATTAAGGGATCTTGGAGTCTGTGGGTGGAGCCATGCGAACAATTAGGTGCCATGATATGCGGTTGTCTGTAAGGGATTTAAAGGGGATTTCTGAGGTTTTATATGGATCTCAAGAGTCGGAAGGAACTACTTGGGTTTATGATGCTTTGTGACACCAGTCATGTAGGTAGTGTTTCGTGGAGTGTTTGACGATTAGGTACTGTGCGACACAATATGGGTGAGTATATGAGTTGTAGGTACCTCGATGCGGCCTCCCCAGCAAAAGACCTGTCCAAACCCAAGCAGGTGTGCTCTGGAATCTGCTGAAACTCAAGCCCCACTGTCCACAGCAAAGCCGGGTGCATCGAAGCCATGTGGGTGGTTGTCAAAATTATGGTCCCTTTTTAGGTACCCTAAATAGTAGGTGCCGTACTATAATAAGGACCCAAAAAGGGACCATAATTTTGACAGCCACCCATGTGATGACGTGTACAAGGAGGCGCAATGAACACCCTCACCCAGACCTCGAATTCTAACAAGGATCCTTCTGGAACATCCACAACTCCTTCCCTAAATCCGATTCTCTAGGCCTTATAAACCCTATAACCCCAACGACTTACAGACCATAAGCCATCCTAGGCCCTAAACTCCAAACACTGTCACTAAACTCCTTCGGCCTTGAGGACAACGTCAGAGAGGTTGCCCGTCTGCAGCAAGGCCTAGCAGCATGCCACAAGCTCGACTCGACAACGCTGAGACTGCAACAAAAGGGCCTTGATAACATGTACCAGAAATAGACATGATAGCAATGATAATGAACATCATAAGGTCAATAACAATGTTAATGTTTGAATACTGATACCATGACAATAATAACACTGATAATAATCATGACAATTTCTAAAACAACGAAAACAACAACAGGGTTTGGAGCCATGTTACAGTATAGCCGCACCAGGAGACACTGTTGCTAACTATTACCACCTCTTACGTTACATGGTCCCACGCAGAAAACAATCGGATCACTGGTTCCCCAGAAGGTGGGAGTTAGGATTAGGGGGACCCTTGGGGATGTAGACCGTCTCAATAAGGCCCCTGTTAAGAGAGCCAGAAGTAGGGTTCAGAAGGGGTACCCTTTAAGGGGTCCCCCTAATAATACTACCCAAGAAGGCCCAACACCACCGAGAAACCTGGTCTTAAGTTGGGCTTGGACCCTACTGGAGCTTTAGGGTTTGAGCCCTAAACCCTAAACCCTAAATCGAGGAGAGGGCGCTATTCCAGGACCCGCCTTCAAAGCGGCCTTAGGGTTCAGGTGAGAGTGGGTGGTAGTAGGTATCGAGGGTATAATAAGAGGGTAGAAGGAGGGTCTAACCCTCAAACCTAGGCTGAGGGGTCGGCATCTCGGGCTAGCAGTTGTTCATTACAGCGTTTGGGGTTGGCCGCCATCCTTCGAAAACGCAAGCCGTAAACTCCAACACCCTAAACCCTAAACCCATGCTCTCCCTTGTAGTTCCGTTTTGTGGATAAGAGAGCTTTATTTATCTTAAGGATCCAACAACACAAGGAGGAGCGGCCGAGGCACGACGAGAGAAAGCCACGAGGAGGATGCGGGATGGGGCTAACCTCTATAAGAAACGCATGAATGCGGGTTGAGATCCCAACCACCTCAAAGCAACCCTTCCAAAGACCCCTATGACTGTAAAACCCCAAACCCTAAACCCTAAAACAAGACCGGGGACCCCTATCACCAGCTTCGCCAAGAGGTGCCGGCCGAAGACGACGCCTTCGTGACCACCGCTTGGAGGGGCAGGGACTTAGTAAGTAGGTTATAAGTAGCGTTAGAAGTACCTTAAACGGAGTTACCCTAATTTTCACCCTACTTATAACCTACTTACTAAGTCCCCTGCCCCTCCAAGCGACCAGCAGAGGATGCCTCGGTAGCCTTGTCCATCCCAGAGCTTCCACGCATTCGGTGGGCGAGCCCAAACACCTCTTTCAGGGTTTTGGGGTTTAAGGTTTAGGGGTTTCAGGGTTTAGGGTTTCAGGATTTAGGGTTAGGGCTAACCATGTTCTCGAGGTCGCACTTGGCCAGCAGAGTCTTGACCTGGCTCACTACAATCGGGCGACTCAAAGGACACCCCGTCCGTATCCACGAGAGCTGCCGGGATTGTGCGGGGGTAGACGGGCGAAGCGCGCACCATAAGCGGCGGTTCCCAAAGCAGCATAGACGGAGGGGAAGACCGTGCTCCAGGAAGTGCTCCAGCCCTTTTCGGCTATACTAAGCCAGTGTTCTGCGGATTCACTATCTTTGGCGAAGCCTCCATAGATACTGGTCGCTGGCATGAGTTTTGAGTGGAGACAACCCTGAAGAGTCAACATAAGCCCAACTTAAATTGGAGGGGCAGGGGACTTAGTAAGTAGGTTGTAAGTAGCCTTATAAGTACCCTAAATGGAGTTACCCTAAACATGACCCTACGACCTACTTACTAAGTCCCTGCCCCTCCTAGTACGGTTTGGGCTTGGGTCTCCACCCCGAATCCCAAACCATGAAAATCCAGGCCCTAAGCCCTGAATCCGAATCACCCTAAAAATTCCTAAACCTCTAAACCCGAAACTCCAAACCTTAAACTGCCAAACCGTGAACACCAAAGACCGCCCTTTTATAGACCCCATACATGAATTCGTTTAAGGAGCCCTTCACACTTTGAGGAACCCTTTCCAGAAACCCTACTTACTTACTAAGTCCCATGACCCTCCAAGTATGCCACTCGTGCCTGGAGGGACTCACAGACCTCCTGCTGGCCGTTAGCCTGCTTGAAAAACGCCCAATGTGCTTCGGGCTTCGGCGGTTTAGAGTTCAGTGTTTACCTGTAGCCGAAAAGACCTACCTTCTTGAGGAACTATATATAGAAACCATAATAAGGAACCCTAAAAAGGTAGGCCCCTTTCGGCTACAGGTAGGGCTTATGGCTTGTTACAAGCCATAATAGCTGGCATGGGAAAGACTTCTGGCTACCTGTCCCTACCATATCGTCCCAATACCGAAAGTTTGTGTTTTTTTGCTCTTGACTGTAGGGTTTAGCTTAGAAGCTGCCCCCACCCTGTAATAGTGGCATAATAGGAATATAATAGGGCCCTAATATAATCCTTATAGTCACTATTACAGGGTGGGGGCAGCTTCCAAGGTTTAGCTTAGTCTTGCGGGCTCAGAAAGCCGCTTGCCGGTTTAGTGTTCAAGCTCTCGAGGATCGATGGAGGCCTCCAAGGCACTGTGAGGTTCTTGGGTCTGGGTTTGGATTAGGAGGGACATGGAAACTGCTTCAACTTCAACTTCATCTTGCAGAGCATTCAACCGCTATTGTAGAGCAGGTGCAAGAAGGTCTTTTATACAGCCTACTGTAGAGGCCGCAATACTTAGAATAGGGTTTTGGGGCCACTATACTCTAATTACAATAAGGAACCCAAAAATAGCATAGGTAATCATTTAGGCCCCTATATTACCCAGAGGGTCCACAGACACTACTATTATGGAATTAGGTACCAAAAGACCATCCCCATTATGGTTTTCGGGACCTAATTCCATAATGGTAGCGCATATGGACCCTCTGGGTTAAAGCACTCTCTAAACCTAGACCTAAGAGTAACCTAGGAATAAAAAGGGTGCCCTTTTTGGTTTAAAGGGGGTTATAAGGGAACCTAAACCCTAAAAAAGGGAATAAGGGCCCACTCTGGATCCTAGAAACCCTAAACCCTAAGCTCAACTTAAAGGCTGGACCTCGGCGACGGGCGCTGTGCCTGCATCGAAGCCAATCACAACCTGAGGAGGAATTCGGCTAGGATACCCAGTAACCTAAGAACAAGAAGGCCTCTCTTTTTGGTATTGGGTAACTTTATAAGGAACCTAGGACTGCAAAAAAGGAATAAGGGTACTTCTGGGCATCCTAGTCGGAGTTTAGGATGCTGGGTTCAGGGCTGCTGGGCACTGCAAAGGATGGAGTTTGGGAACCCTAGTTGCTGAGTTCTTAAGCCCCAAAAGTGTACGCTTTCAGTGATTCCGTTTTATAGTGGGTAGTATAGTACTATCACAAAAAGTGTAAAGTGTATCCACTCAGCTACTAAGGCATACATCTTGAATCTCAGGTGAAGGCTCCACGGGCGGATAGCCATTGGGCGTCCGTTCCAATCCAGTCGCACTACAGGGAACTCCAGAAAGTTGGAATATGGTTTCATGGCAGGATACCCTATAATTTACCATAGAAGGGTTAGGATAATCATATTCCAACTTTCTGGCTTTTACCTTATTGACTTGGTATCTCAGTTCGAAACCTCTCACCGCGAATCCCGAAGCGCGCTGTGACACACCCTTCTACTCCTTGCCTCTGCAACTCTGTTGTCTTCCTGTCCTTGGGCTCCAAGTATACAAATAGTACCTACTTTGGGGTCTAAAGTCTATACATATATATATATATATTTATTTATTTCTTTATTTATTTATATTTATATTATATGGTACCTACTTTGGGCTATTTGGAGCCCTAGGGTTGTCCATCAAGGAATGCAAATCCCCTGTGCTTCGTTCGGCTACACCCCCAAAGGCCCAAGCCGGTTATCATCTTCTCTTCAAGCTTAGCTCAAAGCGGGAAATGTGCCTAAAGCATCGAACAGCTGCGATCCTACTCAAAGGATGATGGGGCTGAGTAATTGGGGTGATAATTAATGTAACTACAGTTATAATTGCTTAGAACCCCAATTCAGCTACTTATAACCCTACTTACTAAGTGCCATGATCCGTTAAGTAGACCGCAACAGACCCAGGTCCGAAGTTGTGGGTAGACTGTGTAAGAAAGGCTGAACCCCGACTCCTGCTCAAATCTTTGCCGGTGGGATCCGATTTACTTTGCCAGCACCAACCTCACTCCTAAACCTCAATCGTAGTTCCATTTCGATTTGTTTCGAAAGCTGTACTATACAACATAGTAAAGCGAACAAACAAAATAACCCACGGAAAGCAAAGACCATCGAACAATAGAAACAACATGTAGATCTATTTATGTAGTTATCTATTTCTTTGCCTATATATATATATGTAGGTTGTATACATATATATATATATATATACACACACAAATCGTGCTAAAACAAACTCTCGACTCATCGGTGCTCGGGTCCCCGCCGAGACCTTTCCCATGACCCGCAGGGAGCCGTTGTGAAGCCATCCAGCCTGCGGGTCTTCCCAGAGGCAGTTTAGGGCTTCAGGGTTTAAGGGTTTAGGGTTTAAGGGTCTCAGGGTTTAGGGCGAATACCCTTAATTAATTAAGGAATACTCCAGTTTGGTCTTCCTTGCACCCAGACCCCCGGAGGATCCAAAAAGTAGATCCCTTAATGAGGGGTTCCTATAAGGGTTCCTTTAAGGGCCCCTTTAAGGGATCTATAGGGTTTTAGGGTTTAGGGTTTAGGGTAGATCCTTTAATGGGGGTTCCTAAAGTTCCCTTAGTAGTATAGGGCCCAAATTAGGGGATCTACTTTCGAGATCCTCCCGGGCCTCTGGGCAGAGACCCCAGTATCCCTTAACTAAGGAATATTCCATATGAGGGATCCTACGATAGTTTAGGGTACATATCCTCAATTCCCTTACAGAAGCCATATAGATCCCTCTAAGGATCCCTTTAAGGAATATTCCTTCATTAAAGGATATTGGATTCTCTGGGTTCCCCAAATTTCAGGAACTCGTGGAGTCCCAATAGAATTGAGTCCTCATATCTTGACTTATTGCCGAGTATCCTTCAAAATCGACAGGTTAAACTCAGGGATTCTATGGGGCCTTTCGTACCGCAAAAAGGCTCAAGGCTACGTACTTCTACTCTACTACTAAGTTTATGCGGCCTCTAAACCCAGCTCCGGTCATCGGCATCAGGGCGACTTTGCTCAAAACTTCACTCTAACTGGTGGTCATTTGGGCTAGTAACAGTAGTTGTCGTCGTCATAGTACAGAGGCAAACTATTGTGCATGGTTGTGCTGATGGTGGTGGCGGTAGAAGCAGCAGCAGTGGCAGGCGCAGTAGTACTATATATTTACTGGTACAGTCGTGCTCCTACTTGTGGCGCAGGTTGCTCGTAGTCGATGCCGCTGCCGTTTTAGGAATTAGCAGATTGTTGGCACATCAAACATGTTGGCGGGAGAATTAAGCACAAACCAACAAAACATTTAGGATGGGTGCTCGTCGCGATGGTGGCTCAAAAAAGCAGAGCTGCTCCCCATCTGCTGATTGCAAACCACCTCCGAGAAATTGCCCGAATCGCTACGAAGGCCCTACCAAACTCCCGCTTGCTCATATCACCTTCATGTAGGGGTCTTAATGATTAAAATAGGGTCTGGGGTTCCTTATTATACTTACAGTATAATATACCCCCAAACCCTATTCTAACTAACAAGGCCCCTAGACCAAATCCTTATCATAGTAGCCCTTATAGACCCCGTTTACAGATACACTTTAAAGGATCCCTATTCTAAATATTAAGGCCCCTACATTTAGTGAACTTCCTTCAGGGGCAGCGCCTGCGGTTCCAGCACATCGGAGAGGGGCAGGCCCTCGCGATTAGCAAGGTTTGAGGCTTGGCTTGGGGGCTTTGAAAACCCACTTGTCGGGTATCCTGGGCAACTAAAGGTTAACCTTTTTGGTTATATAGGGATGATATAGGGACTATACTACCCCAAAAAGGTTAAAGGTTACCTACTCGACTATAATCATACTAGGAAACGGGTTTAGGGCGTAGGGTTTTTTGGGGTTTTTTGGTTTGGGGTTTAGGGCTTTTAGGGTTTAGGGGTTTGGGGTCTAGGGCCGGTTTAGGAGATCAGGGTTTGAGGGTTTAAGGCTTGGGGGGGCGCTTTAGGAGTTTTTAGGGTTTAGGGTTCAGGGTTCAGGGTTTAGGGTTTAGGGTTTAGGGTTTAGGGTTTAGGGTTTAGGGTTCAGGGTTCAGGGTTTAGGGTTTAGGGTTTAGGGTTTAGGGTTTAGGGTTTAGGGTTACAAGCTAGCACCAACAGGTCTAAACCGCAGCTGTCTTCAGTCATGAACCCAACTGCTGCAGATCGCAAACCTGTTCCTGGCAGAACCCATAACCCTAAACCCTAAACACTTGGGTTCAAGCGGACCTTCTGCACCCGAGATACTCCAGGAGCTGAAGCCTAACCGACAAAATCTCACTTGACGGCTTCATGATGACTTACGACTAAGCCTAAAGTAACCACATGGGGTTACACTGGTACATCAGACCCTAAACCCTAATAACCAGTAGGTATAGAACAATGACAACGAGAATCTCTACCCTGAGCCTCTGAGATCCCTGTACAACACACAATAACCCAAACAGCAACACCGAAACTGATAATAGCAGCAATCATACGAGGAGCGATCATAGCAAAAACGGCAATGGCAACAATGACAGTGATGAAGTTAAAACACTATGGCAGCCACGGCGTAGCAGTCCCAAACACAAGCATATAGAATGACAGCACGACATTCTACTACTCCTCACCATCATCATCTTCAACACCATCTAAGGACACCTGTGATCTGTCTGGAACCCGAAAGGCAATCCACGGAATCTTGGACCAAACATCTCAAGACTCGGAAGATGTGAAATCGTTTCTTTTACAAAGCCTCAGCTGGTTGAGAAGGGCGGGCACGGGAGCTTTTATAACCTGCTAGAACAATGTAGAAGACACTAGAATCTAGAATCTTAGAAGGACAAAACAGAACTGCCATCATGTGAATGTTTGGGAGAACCTAAAGCGATCCTCAACGCTGTCTTATGTCAGCCTCAGTTTTAAACATGACTTACGCATAAGGTCGCTGTGTTGACCGGAAATTACCCTAAACTCAAACTCTCAGCCGTAGAGCGCCCACAACCAAGCCCTTAAATCCGCAATCCTGATCCCCCGGAACACTCACATGGGTAGTTGTCAAAATTATGGCCGCTTTTTGGGTACCCTAACTGTTAGGTGCCGTATTATAATAAGGACCCAGAAAGGGACCATAATTTTGACAACCACTCACATGCGGAAACCCTAAACCCTCCCAACATGAAGCGCTGCATCCCGGAACCCTGTTTGGGGTTTGCAGGGTTTAGGGGTTTAGGGTTTAGGGGTTTAGGGTTTAGGGTTTAGGGGTTTAGGGGTGTAGGGGTTTCAGGGTTTAGTGTTTAGGGGTTTAGGGGTTAGGGTCTAGGGCCTTGACTCCATCGTGGCGCCGGCTGTCACCAAGGTCGAAGGACCTGGACCACCCTCGAGCCTCGGTTATGAGGGGTTTTACGGGTTTAGAGTGCTACTTAGAGGATCATGGGACTTAGTAATTGGGGATATAAGTAAGGTAACTACACTTATAAGTACTTGTAACCCCAGTTAAAGTACTTATAACCCTACTTACTTAGTCCCATGATCCTGTAGGTGGGGTTTAGGAGTTTATGGTCTTCGTGGTTTTAGTTTATATTTTGGTGGGCGTGGGGAGGGAGGTTTAGGGTTGCGGGTTCAGGATTGTAGGGTAATCGGGTTCAGGGCTTAAAATTTTGAGGTTTGGTAATTTGGTGGGTATAGTGCTTCCGAGTTTCAGGGTCGAACCATGGTCAGGGTTTGGAAGACCCATGATGCCCACGCTTACGGAAATATGTTGAGATGAAAAAACCCGGACCGCTGCTTGGAGGGTCCGGGGACGTAGTAAGTAGATTCTAAAGAGTTATAAATATCATGATCCCTTCTAAAAGTACGTATGACTCTACTTGTACCTACTAACTAAGTCTCCCGACCTTCCAAGTGATTCGTCATATATCAGTCGAGAGCCGGACGAAGAACCAATGCTACTATAGACTACCAAAGCATCTGTCAATCCCTACGGCTGATGGTGTAAATCCTGCATGACCTTAAGGACCCTAGACTATGGGAATTATGGTATATTCCTTATTGTTGGTAATGCAGGATTTATATCATCAACAGTATCCCTGTCTAGCTATCTATCTACATACCGATGCACCGATGAATCTTTCTGTCGTTCAATCTGTGGATCGATGTGTCGACCGATCTATCCACGTATCAATCTATCGGCCTATACATCTACCCATCTATTTACTTACCTATCTACGGACCTTTCTATCAATCTACCTATATGCCCAGCTGTCTATCTGTCTATATCTATCTATCCATCCATCTACGTATCTGCCGCCACTAAAGGGCTCTGTACCTGTCCCAAGCATAGACCCTGGTACTGATAAATCGCTCTTGTTTTCCTAATTAGGACCCAATCAGTAGGAAATTACTCGGCTTTGGGATAGTAATCACATAGGCTACTGTTTTTGAAGAGTCTATAACACTTAGGCACTCGGAGCGTTAGGGGTTCGGGGTTACTATACTGAACTTAGAAACCCTAGCAAAAATTATAGTTGTAGCTGTTTCATAGGGATTATAATAACCAAAAATAAAAAAAATATTTCCAAGTACCCCTGGGGTTTAGGGTTAAAAAAGCCAAGGCACTCCCATCCTTGAGATGCCGTGGTAGGTTGGGTCGCACCTTGGCAGTGCGAGGTGTCGCGTGAAGGGGCTTCCGAGCTTCTTGGGTTTAGGGTTTCTTTCCCTAAGGCTCTCAAGACTCATATATTATGTAAGGCTTTGAGGCCCAAAGACCATACGATATAAGGCTTTTGGGCTTTTTTGAGCCTTAGAGTTTGGGTTCAGGTAGGGCATCTTGAAAACGGCTGAAGGTTGCCTACCCGGCTCAGCTACTAGCTCCGATGCCCCAAACCTGAAGTTCTACTTGGGGGATCATGGGACTTAGTAGGTAGGGCGGTAAGGGTTCCTTTAAGGGATCTATAGGTGCACTATAAGGGTTTAGGGCTTAGGGTCTACTTGAAGGATCACGGGACTTAGTAAGTAGTGTTATAAGTACCTTGATTGGGGATATAACTATTTATAATTGTAGTTACCTTACTTGTAACCCCAGTTACTGGGTCCCATGATCCTGTAAGTACACCCACCTGCTTATGTTGGCAGCTTTCGGGTCGAATGGTTTGATGCAGTCACAATAAGCTTAAACCTTGAAGCTTAAACCGTTTATTGCAAACCACTTCAAAGATGCAGCCGGAAGACAGCGTCAACTCCTGCCCTTTCTTCTTGTTGAGGATGGTGATCTCCAGGGAGATGCTACAAGCCTGCAGGTTGAGGGTTTAGGTTTGACTGGTGTAGGTTCAGGGGTTTAGAGGATAAAGTTTGAAGGTTTAGGCTTTATGGGGTAAGGGTTTAGGGGTTGAGGGATTAGGCTTTAGGGGTTTGAGGTCTAGAGTTTGAAGCTACTTTTGCCTCAGTGGGGTTTCGGTGAGGAGTGTTGGACTCGGGGCTTTATGTCAGGGTGTGGGGTCTAGTCTAGTCTAGACTAGCATTTCAGATGCAGGGCTGAAGGTGTGCTCGGGCTCGTCGTGGGGCTCAGGATTGCATAAGCTTCCGTTTAGACCTGCGAAGCAAACATCGGGACCGTAACCTAAGGATTCAAGATTAAGGGTATAGGGATGGTGGGGATCACAAACGAAGGGTAAAAGTTCAGAAGTGACTTTAAATCCAGGGTACCACCAGATTTCAGCGCTCTTGTTTGTAAATGTTTAAGGAGTAGGAGTAATATATTAGGGCCTGAATCATTAGGATAGGGTTCTGGGGACCATCATACTATAACTTTGATATGGAGCCCCAAAATAGTTTCGGTAACTATTAAGGCCCCTGAAGTATCAGGGTTTACGATGTGTGAACGCATTCAAGGGTTCAGGGTGTGTGGATTCCACCCATCATATGCAGTGTATCCATTGACACGCACGATCGATCCCGCTGACCCTGGCCACAAGAAGCCTCTAATTGGCGTTTCAGGGGGTCCTCTGCTGCAATTAGACTAGGAAGTCGTTTAAAGTCCTTTAAAAATGGAGTAGCAGCAGGAAGCGCTCAACTAGATTCGCCAGTAGAGCCCTAAAACCCCAAACTCCTGTACCGAAAACCTAAACCTTCAACCCTTAACTCATAAACCTTAAACTTCTTTAGCTGTGTTCTCTACTATACCATACTACACTATATAATATACCATACGGGACAAGGCTATAGTTCCCTAAACCCTACCTTTTAATCCCTAAACCCTAAGCCCTAAACCCTAACCCCCCTGAACCGGACTATATTATACACCCCTGAACCCCGATGCCCTGAAGATCGCGTCTCCTCTGGGTCGTCGTCCAAGCGCTTCACGTGGACTCCCAGGTTCTTGCTCTCCTCCGCACTCGCTTCTGATAGGGGTTTTAGGGTTTAGGGGTTTGGGGTTTAGGGTTTTAGGGTTTAATTTAGGGTTTATCATATCCCCAAGGATCCAAGTACCCAATAATCATAAACTCTCCAAAATCCTAACCTACGTAGCTACTATCCTAAAACCGAGTACCTAATTGTTGGGTCCTTTGGACTTTGGACCCTTGGGGTATGGGTTACTGTCAAAAGGGTCCCTTCAAGAGGAACTCTGTGATTCTACTCTGACTACGGCACCCTATAGTTTGGGAGCCGGGGCCCTAGTTTTGATAACCGCCCATATAGAGGTTCAGGGGTCATATTTTGATGTTGGGAGCCTTTTTCTCATAAGCTAGTGGCATCTTGTCGGAAAACACTTTTTCAAAGTGTTCAGTGTTGAGGCATTCACGGGGCGATGCTGTGTTTCATAGCTTGTATGGGGGCTAGAACTGGATACTATTGCGAACCGGTGCGACGCTAGGCTCCTTCGGTCGGGTGTTAGGCAATTTAAGGTGCAGGAATTAGGTTGCGGGGCATGCAGGGATATAGCCCGTAGACCTTCTTGAGTTTACTCACTATCTCACTTCGCTTCATTCCTGCCTCATGTGCCCACGTGTTCATCGCAGGTGATGGTGGTTGTGCCCAGAGACTCCAATACCCCTTAATTAAGGAATATTCCTTAAATCATATTAGGGATCCTACTATAAATTAGGGTATATTCATTAGTTAAGGGCTATTGGAGGCTCTGGGTGATGGGCGTTGACCTGTCAACGTCCTGAAGCCTTACCGTTCTCGGACTGCGTGATGTTCTGGTAGTGTTCTTCTTCGCTTTTAACAAAGCGAGGAATTTCTCAACGATCTTGATGTCGCCGGTGATGCTCGTCTTTTTGTCGTCGGTCTTCACATCGTTGGAGTTTTGCAATGGGCGCGTTCCTTTTTATGTTTTTTTGCAAGTGTCCATTATAAGGCTTTAAAACCTATCTTCATGATTTCGCAGTTGTTGACAGTTTCGCTGTGTGGGGCTTGCGGGGCGAAGGGCCTAAGACACAGCCAGTTGCAGCAGCCAGCCACTACTGCTACCCTAAGCTCAGGTACAAAATTCTCAGGCTTGCCCAAACCCTAAACCCTGAGCCCGAAGTTGACAGAAAATCCTAAGCTAAGCCCTAAGGCCAACGACTCATAGCTTCCTCGATGGTCTCCACGCCTTACAATCCACAAGCTCGCTGATATGGGGGGGGGGGCCTGAATAATTAGAATAGGGTTTTGGGACCCATTATAAAATATTGAACTGATAGTAAGGATCCCCCGAAATAGTATTGGTATGTATTTGGGCCCCTATATTAGACCCTGAAACCCAAACCTTATCAACCCCAAACATGCCCCGACAGCCATCAAAAGCTCAAAGCCCTAAACTGATCGGACCCTTGCACCCTACCTTAAAGACGAAATGAGCCCTAAAAGGGTTTAGGGTTTAGGTGCCATGTAGGGATTCATAGTATATATGGGTATGAGGCCTCTACTTTTAAGGGTCATTTGGTCCTTCAGGTATACAGAGCCGTCAACGCTACTTATGGTTTCGATTGTACTTCCGTTTCTGGTAGACCGACTTGCTGGTCGGGATTCTAGAATAGAAAACTGATCAACACAAAAAAAGGAACTGCAATGGAGACTTCTGGTCAGCCAGTGAGGACATGGACAGATTCTACCCTCGCGCCTCGAAGAGCCATCTTAAGCCCCCAAAGTCCTGAAATCCTAAGTTGATCGGACCCTTGTGCCCCTACTCTCTAAACCCCCCAAAAAATGTGCCTGAACCCTACAAACCCGAACCTACTATACCCCAAAGGTGCCTCGACGGAGCCATCTTGCTTCACGGACCAAGCCACGGCCAGGCCGAAGCGGAAGCGGTTGGCCTGTGCGCAAGAGAGCGGTTTTCGGGTTTAGGGTTCAAGTGGCACTATGGTTTAGGGTCTGGGGTTTAAGGTTTAAGAGAGCCCACAAGACGAATGAACCCCTTTGAACGGCATGAAACCAAAAAAGCTCGAGCCACTTTCGTTTAATAAGACGGAACCCACGAACTCTGGATTATGGAAGGGTTCCTCATTTCATTTAACGGCATATTCCATGCTTAGATGGTTTCGTGTGCCTGGGTCTAACATAGGTGGGTTTGCATACTTGGAGGATCACGAGGCTTAGTAAGTAGGGTTATACATACCTTAATTGGTGGGACAAGACATTACAGTACTCATTACCTTACATAAATCCCCCATTACCAAGTCCCATGATCCTTCTACTCTAAACCCTACCCCTGGAGGAGCCTTTTAAGGATACTAAGTCCCATCATCCTTAAGGTAGGAGATCAAGCCTGACAATCGGCACACTGACTTCAGCAGCCATATTCTATGCAGGGTTTAGGGTTTAGTGTATTTGTGCCTCGGGGCTGCTACACTTGCTACATTGGCTCTATAGTTGCACTCAAACTTCCTCAGAATCTGCTGTAGAGGAACTCCTTCCAGGCCTCCTTAAGGGTTACTCACATTGGAAGCTGCTTGCAACAGATCATGCACATACATAGGGCATGTAACCGAGAACACGTTTGATACCAACGTCTCGAACGCCAAAAACCTTGAACTCTCTAGACATTAAACCGGCTTTGGGTTCAGAGTTTAAGGGCTTTGTTCGTTTTGCGCTTTGTTTTTGGACCGCACGTCTTAGGTTTCAGGTTGCAGTTGTGCATGGGGTTAGCATAACCTTAAACTGATGTCGGAGGAGTCCGGATGAGGCTCTGTTGGGACGTGAAGCATCCAGGCACCTCCCACCTGACGATCCTGTATCCGAGGGTCTAATTTAGGGTTTAGATGATGTATAACTATGCATAGATATAAATAAACATGTGTATATATACATATATATATATATGTATGTATACATATGTATATATATATATATGTATATATATATATGTACATATGTAGATGTATGTATGTATGCATGCATGTATGTATGTATATATATATATATATATATATATATAGATAGATAGATAGATAGATGTCACGAAGGGCTTAGGACTTAAGGTTCAGGGATTGATGGGGGTTCAGGGTTTCGAGTTTCGGGCTCAGCATCTTTGTCAAGTCTCCACTTCAACACTGCCACATTGACCTGAGGTTTACACTTGGGGATCTAAGGATCTACTGTCATTTTAAAAAGTTATAAGTATCATAACCCAATTAGGATTCTGTGTAGCGCACTTACAACGTGTAGCTCTACTTGTGACTTACGATGTCTCCCGGCCGTCGAAGAATCAGCTTGTGGATCTACTTCGATTCAGCGCACTCTGGTCAACAGGCTTGGAGTTGCTCAACAGCAAGGCCTCTTGTGGATCCTTTCTCCTCTTTTGTATGACGAAAGCCGAATACAGCTTGTAACAACAACGGTCATTGCCACACCCTGAAAGAAAACACGCCTGACGAGGTCTCACGAACTCTCCGACCCCTTCACCGCGCAATCCTTACTTAAAGGATCATGGGACTTAGTAGTTGGGGTTATACGTAATGTAACTATAGTTATGGTTACTTGTAACCCCAGTTAAGGTACTTATAACCCTGCTTACTATGTGCCATGATCCTCCAAGTAGGTCAACCCTAAACCTTAAACCCCAAATCCTACGACCCTGAACCAACCACGGCTGAGCTCCCCACTGCTAGGATAGGACCAGAGACGATTTCTCTGCAGTCCTTTGGCTGCGAAGGTCGTTTTGCAGCTTGCAGGCCCGGGGTTGCAAAGCTGTGCGTCCTTTGTCAGTAGGGGTCATACATTGAGTTTTGTAAGATGCTTATAAGGGTACTTAAAGGGGTCTTGATGCTGAGAGTTAGGCACCAAAGGGCTATTATTAAGGTCTTAATATATCTATAGCATGAATATTATGCAACTATTACTGAGTGGGGGCCGTACCCAAAAGATCCCTAAACCCTTGAGCCATCGGGGCTTTAAGCTCGGCAAAAAAGAACCCAAGGACGCGGTGCCTGCTTGCCTTCCGACACGGTCTTCGTGGTTGCCTGGGGTGTGGGGCTTTGATATAGTAGGGGCCTTAACAATAGGACTCAAGTGTTGGGTATACTATACTCTAACCAAAATAATACGCAGCCCTGATCAGGATTTGTGAATATTCAGGCTTCGATATTACAGAGTCTCATGGGGCTTTAGGGGCTTCATACTCCTAAACCCCAAACCCTAAACCCCTATACCCTAAACCCCTAAACCCTCACCCCTAAAACCCTAAACCCGAGTGTTACAAACCTTAGGGGCCTTAGGGAGAACCCGAGCCCTAAATCCCAAACGACACACACCCTACGCTTTAGAAGCTGCCCCCACCCTGTAAGGATTATATTAATATTATATTAGGGCCCTATTATATTCCTATTATACCACTGTTACAGGGTGGGGGCAGCTTCTAACCTACGCTTCTTTGGCTTTGATCGAGCCAGTAGCCCCGTTTTTTGGTGGTTTTGTAGAATATCTTACTCCCTGATGGCAACTTCTTGTAATAAAGACCTTGTATCTTTTTAGAAGGGGTCCCCACCCTGTAATAGTGGTATAATGGAAATGTAATACAGGGCCCTAATCTAATCCTCATAGTGACTATTACAGGGTGGGGCAGCTTCTAATATATCGTATATAAAACCTGACGCCCTTCCTTCTCCGAACCTACCAGCCATGGCTCGCGGCCGCCGACGTGTCAACTCTAAGACGCGCTGTTAGAGGGGCCTGAGTTTGGATATCTTTGTATATGGGCAGTTGTCAAAATGATGGCCCCATTTAAAATCATTTTGGGTACCCTAAATATTAGGTGCCGCATTATAATAAGGACCCAAAAAGGGACCACAATTTTGACAACCACCCATATAAGCTTTGATTTGCTGACGATAACAGGAGAAATTCGAGTCATAATGACCACTGCCAGCACCAAGGCATGCCTGGAAGTCTCGTTCTTGATGTGGCTGTCTTGGAGGTGGGACCCTTACCCAATCACTACCCACAAGCTCACATTTTCAGCCGCCACTTTTACTGCATTGGTCGCACTGGTTGGCACGCTGCTAAGGTGTGTTCATAGTATCGTAGCAGACTGTAATATAGGGGTCTGAAAAAATGGCTAATAGCAGTCCCTCGAAAACTCTACCATAAACCCAGAAGCCTAATAAGCCCTAAACCCAACTTTCTTCTCAACTATCAAGCCCGAAGTGCACCGAAGCTGGGGCTGCAGCACATGTGATGGCGAAGTTCGTAATCTCGAACTCGCCAATGCAGTCCTGTTCTATGGGGCGGGGGGGCTTTTATATTCGAGTAGGGCGTTGTGATAATCATTCTATATGCTATGCAACACTGATAATACTACGCTTAATAACAATGATAAGAAGAAGCACAACAATACTAGTAATAACAATATTAATTTAGTAGTAAGGCCAATCATAGTTATAGCATTGGTTAACAGTAACAAACAATAATAAAAAAGATGTCATTAATTCTGATCGTGTTGTACAGATCATGATAGACTGCAATACCGAGGAACCCCAACGAGGTAGTGGAGGGGTAGGCCAATAAAGTCCATATGTGTCAGCCTGAGTCTGAGCCGTAAGCAGCGGGGCACTGGATATTAGATATATTCATGCACGTATTATAGGGTTTCATAGGTTACTTTAAGGATTCAGGGCTTAAACTATTAGGTAATGTAAGAGTGGCTTTAATAACCCCCCCCCCCCCTGAGGTTGTTTTGCGCGGGGGTCTCTTGGGGCAGGGTCTGGGGTCAGGGTGGCAATAGTAAACCTCTGGCCTGCTCTGGGCCTAGTATACTAGTAGTAATAGTAATTAGTAATAATAGTAGTAATAGTAGTAATAGTAGTAATAGTAGTAATAGTAGTAATAGTAGTAATAGTAGTAATATAGTAATTAGTACGTGAAGTCTCAACCTCTGGCATTTGCAGCGCTCTGGCTTGTGTGCCTTCTGACTTTCTGCTGTCCCTTCTGAACTCCTTCTGGCGCCACTGGACTGAAGCAGGGAGTGTGGCCTTGCTGGCGAGGGTTTGTTTCTGTTTGACTAGCCAATGAATATCTGAGGCCATGGCAGCCTCTGATGCGGACATGACTCTGGCTGGGGAGTCTTGTCTGTGTCTTTTTGTTTTTGGGTTTGGGTTTCTGCGAGAAAGGGTCTGGGTTTTGGTGTCTGGGTGTGACTTCTGCTCTTTTATTTATCTGAGGCACCATCTGCACCCCTGGACAACACTGGCGAGCCTTGGCGATAATCTGCGAGAAGGGGTCTGGGGTTTGGGGTTCTGGGTGCGACTTCTGCTCTTATCTGAGGCACCCTCTGGACCGGCCAACCCTGGCGAGACTTGGCGATAATCTGCTAGAAAGGGTCTGGGGTTTGGGGTTCTGGGTGCGACTCCTGCTCTTATCTGAGGCACCCTCTGGACCAGCCAACCCTGGCGAGACTTGGCGATAATCTGCGACAAAGGGTCTGTGTTTGGGGTTCTGGGTGTGACTTCTGCTCTTATCTGAGGCACCCTCTGGACCCCTGGGCAACCCTGGCGAGCCTTGGCGATAATCTGCGAGAAAGGGTCTGGGGTTTGGGGTTCTGGGTGTGCCTCTGCTCTTATCTGAGGCACCATCTGGACCCCTGGGCAACCCTGGCGAGCCTTGGCGATAATCTGCGAGAAAGGGTCTGGGGTTTGGGGTTCTGGGTGTGCCTCTGCTCTTATCTGAGGCACCATCTGGACCCCTGGGCAACCCTGGCGAGCCTTGGCGATAATCTGCGAGAAAGGGTCTGGGTTTGGGGTTCTGGGTGTGCTTCTGCTCTTATCTGAGGCACCGTCTGGAGGGCTCACTGCCGATGATCTGATGGAGACTCTGAAGGCCCTAAAATGACCGTGCACGCTCGTTTGTGTGTGTGTCTGCATGTGTCTAATGATGAATCTGCCCTGCAGACGCTGGACCGGCAGAGGGGCCCTCTGTCCTTGCTCTGCACAGACCGCGTCCTGGCTCTGCAGACGGAGCTGCTTCGCTACGACGTCTGGCAAGATGGGCGTGGATGGCTGCACTCTGCCAATGCGAGCCGCAGGTCTGTGTTGAGCTCTCGCGTCAGAGGCGAACTGGAGAGATATCTGGCTGCCTCTGGCTCGCTGAAGCTCTGGGGCCACATCTGCTACCTGTCCGTTCTGGTGACACTGAACGAGGTGCATCTGTCATCAATTAACCATAGCTGTTCTGGAACAACCCATTCTGGACAGGTTCTGTACAGGATTGTCTGTGATGAGATCACGGACGATGATGTGGCCCGTGTGAACGGGAATGTGGCCTTTGTCTGGGACTCGCAGCTCGGCTAATTAGTTCTGCAGTCTTCATCTGCCGGCATTCCGCTTTGATCTGAGTCTGGACACCTTCATGGCCAAGAAGGTGGATCTGGCGAAGGTTTCTGAGGACTGTGGGGATTGGGCTGTCTGGTTCCAGAGCTGCTACTTAGTTGCACCCAGGCCTTTGTTTTTTGTGTCTGGGGGGGGCGGGTGGCTTGCATCTGCATACCGAGATCTGTCGGACTGCAAGAACCACCAGCTGTATGTCCGTGATCTGGCATTCTTCTATGCCAGCCAGGGCTCTGGTGGAGCCGCATCTGGGCCCAACTCTGGACAGATCTGGGAGAAGATCTGCAAGAAGGCCTTCCCATCCTGTGCTTAATTAATTAAACCCTGAGCCCCTAACCCTGAAACCCCAAACCCTGAAACCCTGGAGCCCTAAACCCTTGCAGGTCTACTTCCCGTCTGACTACATGCGCCCGTTGCTTGGCCTAGAAGGGTTTAGGTTTTGGGTCTGGGGTTTAGGGGTTAATGAGGGGTTTGGGCCTCTGCTTTGGGATTCCTACCTAGGCTCTGGCCGAATCTGGTGCCCAGCTCTGGACTTCGCATGCCAGGTGCCTGAAGGTGGGGTTTGGGGTTGGGGTTGGGGGTTGGTGGTTCGGGCTTGTGCTCCTGCTGGCAGGAGCTTCTGATGCAGCAGATTCTGTGGCTTTGGCTGGTGTATCCGGTCATCTGGCCGAGGCCAGATCTGAATCGCTCTCTGGTGCACACCAACCCCAGTCTAATTAGGGTTCTGGAAGCCCAGGATCTGCTGCAGATCTGGAAGGATCTGTACAAGGAGGGGTGGATCTATCTGTACAAGGAGGGGTTAGGGTTTGGGGTTCAGGGTTTCAGGGTTTGGGATTTAGGGTTCAGGGTTTGGGGTTAATTAAGGGTTTCAGAGTCTGGGGTTAAGGGTTTCAGAGTCTGGGGTTAAAGGTTTCAGGGTTTGGGGTTAAGGGTTTCAGAGTTTGGGGTTTAGGGTTCAGGGTTTGGGGTTAATTAAGGGTTTCAGAGTTTGGGGTTAAGGGTTTCAGGGTTTGGGGTTAAGGGTTTCAGAGTCTGGGGTTAAGGGTTTCAGAGTCTGAGGTTAAGGGTTTCAGGGTTTGGGGTTAAGGGTTTCAGAGTTTGGGGTTTAGGGTTCAGGGTTTGGGGTTTAGGGTTTCAGAGTTTGGGGTTAAGGGTTTCAGGGTTTGGGGTTAAGGGTTTCAGAGTCTGGGGTTAAGGGTTTCAGAGTCTGAGGTTAAAGGTTTCAGGGTTTGGGGTTAAGGGTTTCAGAGTTTGGGGTTTAGGGTTCAGGGTTTGGGGTTAAGGGTTTCAGAGTTTGGGGTTTAGGGTTTCAGGGTTTGGGGTTAAGGGTTTCAGTGTTTGGGGTTACGGGTTTCAGAGTTTGGGGTTTTGTGTAATTAGGGTTTCAGGGTTTGGGGTTAAGGGTTTCAGGGTTTGGGTTTAAGGGCTTGGAGTTATATAATTATTTAAGGGCTTGGGGTGAAGGGTTTAACTAAATAATATAGCAATATTTATTAATAATTAGTATTAATAACTCTAAGAATAACAACGAGAATAAGGATAATAAGAACAATAAATCAATAATTATGTAATAAGTAATTAATTAATAAAGCTAGCAACAACAATAAGGATAGCAACAACAATAAGAAATAAAAGCCTAATTATACATAATTAGTACTTAGAAGCCACCACCACCACCACCACCGCCACCACCACCGCCACCACCACCACCACCACTAATTAATTAATTAGACCCATCAGCAACAGCAGCAACAGCAGCAGCAGCAGCAGCAGCAGCAGCAGCACCATTTCCACCAGCACCAGCAGCACCGCCGCCGCCACCACCAGCACCACCGCCGCAACCACCACCAGCACCACCAGCGCAACCAACACCACCACTAGCACTAATTACAAACACGATAACAATTAATTAATTAGTTAGATAATTGGCTCTGGGCAGGAGCCGATCTGAGCAGACGTGCGGAGACCTCTGGTGCCAGAGCTCTGGAGCTTTCTGGTTACCCACCACCCCGAACAACCCACTAAACCCTAAACCCTAAACCCTTAATTAAGCCCCTTAATTAAGCCCTCAACCTTAAAACTTAAACCTCCAACTTAGGTTTTGGGTTTTTATGACTTAGGGATGAACAACTGTTTTAATTCATAAGGGTTTCTATATCTAATTAGGTAATTAAGGGTTCTGGTTTTTCGTACAAAGCTCTGGAAGCTCTGGTCGCAGGCTCTGTGTTTTTTTCTTGCAGACGAGAGGAACCTCTGTCGCAGAGGAAGGAAAAAATCTGGACGCACTGTGTCTGTCTTGGTTTCTCTCTTTCTAGAAGCAGCCCCTGTCTGATTGCAACATGTAAGTACTTGAGTAACTTCTGCTCAAGCTCTCTGGTCGCTTCTCTTCGGCAAGATGGGCAAGTCTGGGGTGCTCAAGAAGCCGTCTGCCTCCGCTGTGGTCAAGAAGCCGTCTCTGAAGCAAGACCCCAACGACGATCTGGCACCTGCCGTGCCTGAGCCGCTGCAGCGACTGAAAGCTCTGTCTGAAGCCTCTGAGGAGACTGTGCCTCCGTCCGAGGAGGCATCTCTGTATGCACCGGATTGTTTCCTGCATCTCTGGGATACTCTGAGTTCTGAACAGAAGGAGTATCTTCGCAAAGCCTCTGAGGTTTTGAAGGCTCTGAAGTGAGCCGCAGAACAGATCTCGCAGGAGTTTTTGAAAAAGAGTCTGACCTCGCATTGCACACGTTCTGGAAGTGTTGTTGCTCTGCAAGCACCGGTTGCAGCCGAGCTTCTTGTTCTCTCTGATTCCCGATTGGATCGAGCTCTGTGTCAGTTCTGTAGCTCCTCTGAACACTGACATGGTGTCCTCTGCGGTGGTCTCTGCCTACGTGGCGGTCTGTGCTCTGGGCAAAGCCTTTCTGCGAAAGCAGCCGGAGATTCTGACCTTGCTTGGTCTGTTCCTCGGCTTGGATCGAGCGGATCTGTTCTTCTGCTTGGCATCTGGTGAGCAGATCAGCCTCATCTGGAACGGTGCCGTCAGTCTGCGCTGGACTCTGAATGGCTGGCTGGTGAGGCGACGGGATCTGTCTGTTGGAGATCATCTCTGGCTTTGCTGGAAGAACCCTCCACAAGGACACGCTCTGACTGAGCGAGATCTGGGGGATCTAGGGTTCTCTGAGGAGGAAACCTCTGATCCCAACGGCGAATCTGCTGCCGAAGCCTCTGGCGAAGGTGCCGAGGTCTGGGAGATTCTGAATCTGTCGCCTGCTCCCAGGTCTTCCCGAGATCTGGAGTGATGATCTGCTTCGCAGTGAAGAGTGAAAACATTCCGAGCATCTGTTCTGCAAGGTTCTGCTTTGCCTGCATTGTCTGAGAAGAGCCTAGGAAGAAGCTTTCTGATTGTCCATGCATCTGCAGGCATGCCATTTTGGCTTCGCTAGTAGATCTGCCCAGCAATGTCTGTGGCGATCTCCTCTGATGAGGAAGATGGCGGCGGTGGTGTGGCCGCTTCTTCTGCTGCTCTGGTGTCCAGCGAGGACGTGTCTGAGCAGCTTGTGGCAGCTTCTGAAGGAAGCTTGTCGGAGCAAGCTCTGGCGACTGCAGAGAGTTCTACCTCACAGCCTTCTTCAGGCGAGCTGCTTGTGTCATTCCATGTTGCTTCTGGCAAAGACTGATTATTTAATTCGTTCTGAAGTTTAGCTGCTGCAGTTCCTGGAATCCGGAGTCCCTGGCTTCTTGCCAAAGCCTGCAGCTTTCGAATACCAAAGCCTCTGGCTTCTTGTCCAAAGCCACTGGCTTCATAGCTTTCCCAAAAGCAAGGCTTCCCATCGGGAGCCCCTCCCCCGGATGAGTTTATTATTGCCACCCCGTTTATAATTGCCAGAAGAAGGGCTGCAAAGGGTTACCCTTGCCGGCTTTGTGAAATGGCTCCGTTTATATAGAATTGGAATAAGGAACCGACCTCAAGTTTAGCTGCTGCAGTTCCTGGAATCCGGAGTCCCTGGCTTCTTGCCAAAGCCAGCAGCTCTCGAATACCAAAGCTTCTGGCTTCTTGTCCAAAGCCACAGGCTTCATAGCTTTCCCAACAGCAAGGCTTCCCATCGGGAGCCCCTCCCCCGGATGAGTTTATTATTGCCACCCCGTTTATAATTGCCAGAAGAAGGGCTGCAAAGGGTTACCCTTGCCGGCTTTGTGAAATGGCTCCGTTTATATAGAATTGGAATAAGGAACCGACCTCAAGTTTAGCTGCTGCAGTTCCTGGAATCCGGAGTCCCTGGCTTCTTGCCAAAGCCTGCAGCTTTCGAATACCAAAGCCTCTGGCTTCTTGTCCAAAGCCACTGGCTTCATAGCTTTCCCAACAGCAAGGCTTCCCATCGGGAGCCCCTCCCCCGGATGAGTTTATTATTGCCACCCCGTTTATAATTGCCAGAAGAAGGGCTGCAAAGGGTTACCCTTGCCGGCTTTGTGAAATGGCTCCGTTTATATAGAATTGGAATAAGGAACCGACCTCAAGTTTAGCTGCTGCAGTTCCTGGAATCCGGAGTCCCTGGCTTCTTGCCAAAGCCAGCAGCTCTCGAATACCAAAGCCTCTGTTTTCCTACTAACATCACGTCTTTGCCAGTTGACATAATTACTGACTATTTACTGATATGTTTTCATGCAAGTGACAAGGCTTCTTTCTTGTTTCTTGATTCAACCGCAGCAGGTTCTGGAAAGCAGAAGAGACTGCTGCACTTCTGGAAGCCTGAGCACCCTCTAGCAGAGAAGCCTCCTCTGGAGAAGGAAGCTCAGCCCAAGGGCAGGCCACTGTCCGCTGCCATGAAGCAGATTCTGGCAGAAGTGGCAAGAGAGTCTGTTGTAGAACAGACTGACGAAGAAGCTCGTCTGGAAGCTCAGCGACGCTACGCGAAGAAGAAGAACACTGGCAGACCAAAGAATCTGCCTGGAGCTCCTTCTAAGAAGCGCTCTGCAGAGATGCC